AGTGCCTACGTTGGCTGTTACGACAACAGCAACCGAGGTCTCGCCGCATACTCTTATGCCGACAGCGGGATGACCGTCGAGGTTTGCCGCACCACTTGTGCCGAATTCGGTTACAGCTTGTCTGGGTATGTTGTCGCTTTTGAAACGATGAGTTTGGCTGACGCAAAACAGTGTCTACCTTGCGCGATACTGTGGCTGTGGTAACTCTTGGACTGGCGCTACTCAGAAGTACCCCTCTAGCTCGTGCCAGAATTACGCTTGTAGTGGTGAGTCGCTTCTTTTGTGCACCACCCGCCTGGTCCTGACCATCCTCTAGGCAACAGCACCGAATGGTGTGGTGGTTTGACGCAGCTCGCCATGTACAATACTACTGGTGTCTCTACCAGCGTTAAGAAACCCACTGGATGGCTGTCTTGCTGGACTGACTCTTCGTCATCCCGATCTCTTACATCGTATTCGTACTCTGCGAGCCCCATGTCTGCCAAGGCTTGTCGAACGGCTTGTAATCAACAAGGTTACGCTTATGCTGGGACTGAGAACGGTAAGCTTACCGTTATTCACATGGATTGATCCTAACGAGACTACAGGTAACCAGTGCTACTGTGGCAACACCCTTGCTGGAGAGAAGGCCCCGACGTCTCAATGCAAGACGACTTGTACGGGTACAACTGCGAATGAGACTTGCGGTGCTTCCGGCTATATGGACCTCTACAACGCCACTGGCGCTTCTTCCGATAACGGTATCTCTGTAAGCTGATACAATTCCGATCGTGAATGGTACTGACGCTCTATAGGGCTATCTCGGATGCTACACTGATGACACCAAGCTCACCGGCAACTCGTTCGTCAGTGATTACATGTCTGTTGAAGTCTGTGCACAGTGGTGTCTTGCCCGAGGCACCACTTATGCCGGTGTTCGCAATGGAAACCAGTGCAAGGTAAGCTCAACTTTGCCATCCTAGTTCATGTTCTAACCCCGCTCTTAGTGTGGCAACACCTCTCCCAGTCTTGTGACCACGCTCGCTGCCTGTAACACGTCATGTACCGCGACTGGTGCGACTTCCGAGCCATGTGGAAGTTCTTCTGCTATCGGTGTATACACCATCGCCGATACCACCGTCACATCTGGCGAATTCCCCATTACGACAAACTCCAGTGGGTATGCTGGATGCTACAAGGAGGGCTCGACTCGAATGCTCCCTTCTTACTCCTTCTCTTCCAACTCTATGACCAACGATCTTTGTCGGTCTAGTTGTAAGACTCTTGGATATGCTTATGCCGGCTCGTGAGTACTCTGTTCCCGTTGCATGAACTCCTTCTGACAGGACCTCAGACAATACGCCACACAATGCTACTGCGCTAACTCTTTGAACGCTACCGCTGGCGGTTACAAGATCCAAGAGAGCAACTGTGCTACGGATTGCAAGGGGGGTGTTGGCAAGTGTGGTGCTGGAGGCGTTCTTTCTCTTTGGACCACATCAGGCCTGAACAGCTCCACTGCCACTGTCGAAGGTCTCCAGGGTTGTTACGCGATCGGATCCTTCCTCCAATCTCCCGGCCTCACGTACAGCGGTGACTACATGACTACCGACCTCTGTCGAAGGACCTGTCGATTTGGAGGATGGTCCATTGCCGGTCTCACCAACGGAAACGGTTGTTACTGCTCAAGCACTGCCAACTATGGATCCCAGGTCGCCCCTGCGGTCTGTAATGCGGCGTGCAAAGGTCAATCCAACCAGACTTGCGGTGCCACCTCTTCCGGAGCCTTCTCCATCTTTGACACTACGGGCGCTGGCGCTCAGCCTCCTTCTGGCTACCCCGACGACTATGTCGGATGTATCTCTGATGGGTCTCCTCGAAAGTTGTCCGACTATTCTTTCAAGAATGGAGGCATGACTAGTGCGATGGTTCGAAAGCTTGCGATTGCGGGGGGCTATCCCAGCTACGGCACCGAAAGTTCCAACGAGGGCTACATGGGCTACAGCAAGCTATCGCCTCCTCTTTTGCCTGATACTTACTGTACTTCTATGTGTCCTGGTGAGTCTTATTTTAGCGGCCTGTTTACATCTGCTAATCGTGGTTTAGGTGCCCCTACTGAACGATGCGGTGGTGGAGGAAGACTGTCATACTATTACATGGCCTCCGTGTCCAACACCACAGACACCAGTACATCGGCCGCTGCGACGTTCACTTCGGTCTCTGCCAACGCCACGTCTACATCGCCTGTCAGCACGACCGTCAACGTCAGTGTCTCTACGTCTGCCTCTAGCAGCGCCTCGAGCTCTCGAGTCTCGTCCAACGCTGGCTCTTCCAGCGTCGGAACCACATCTGCTCCTTCGTCTTCTTCCAACAGTACGAGTACTGGTTACTTCTCCGCTGTTTCTACCAGCGCCATCGTCAGCACTGGCGCACCTTCCACTTCGTCTATGCCGAGTGTGAGCGCCAACTACAGCGTTTCCACCGTACCCGCGCAGTCTACGACAACGTCTACTCCTGTCGGCCCCAGCGTGTTTGCGAGCAGATCGTCGATTTCCACCATCGCTCCTGCTCTATCGACGTCGCCTGTTGCCAATATGAGCTCTGCCACTTCTTCTCGAAGCTCTTCGGCGGTCTCATCGAGTGTATCAGCCAATGCCTCTACTTCGGCCTTCTCGTCTATCGTGGCATCTTCCAGTGCGCCTTTCAGCTCTGCCTCGCCTACCAACACTTCTTCTGCGGTGTCTGCTACCGCGGCTTCATCCTCAGCATCTACCCAAGCTCCTTCATCCGCGCCCTCTTCCAGCTCATCTTCCACCGTCTACTCTACTGTCTACTCGACGGTGACAGTCTCTATCGGCACCTCGTCGTCCACTCCCTCTAGCACCTCATCTTCCACTGCTCCCTCTGCCACTGGCACTTCCTTGGGCTGTTACACAGGCTCCTCCTCATCTTTCGCCAACTCCAAGATGACGAGCCACGAAAACCTCACCCCCAGCATGTGTCAGATCTGGTGTAACGCCAATTACTACACCTATGCCGGTCTGAGCGGCGGAAACAGTTGTGGTTGCGCTAGCGACTTGTCGGGCTTGACCAACGCTACTGCTTCAAGCTGTTCCACGAGCTGCTCTGGTGATTCCAGCCAGAGCTGTGGTGGTACTGCCGATTCGGTGTACTCCATCTACCAAGCGGTGGCTGCCACCAAGTCCACAAAGAGGTCCGGGAGTGTGGAGCCGGCTAAGCGGAGAACGGCGGTCCATGGGCGACGCGTGGTCAACAGGATGCCTAACCGAGCTTGATTGTAATGTATGAGGAATTTTGTATTTGTTCTTTCCCAGCTTGAGGGCACCTTTTAGATCTTTATATTTCTACTATCATTATATATCCTACGACCTCCTGTATTTGTAGAGGCCGTGATATCATGCACATCCATTCCTTTTCACGTTACAGAACATGGTCATGCAAAGTAGTGATTGTGCATGATGCTCGTACAGTTTGACAATGCTATGCCGATGATTGCTATTTATAATGCCTTAAGTTGCGTTGCTTGTCCCTCACGATCTTTCCTGTCCCTCAAGAAGATCAAGAGGGCTTCGTACACTGTCCACCCGATCGCCGCACTCGCCGCTTTCCGTGATATTCTCAGTGATGTACCCGAGAACAGACCCGCTATGCCTCGTTCCTATCAATCTTGTCAGCACATTCTCTTTTCGAGATCTTTCCTTCTGGCAGCAGTGCAGAACCGAAGAACCGAAATGATGACTCACTTGTATGATCCTCTCAACAGCCTTTTTCAACGTCGGATGTTCAGCCGGATTGACCTGCATCCGCGTCTTGACGACGTCGGCGGGGGACGTGATGATGGTAGCTAGCATAGCTGCCATGACACCCGATCCTGAATGTATAGCGGCATTCGGTACCCCCGGAAGTTTGCCTAGAGTCAAGTCAGCTCCTTCTCTATCCTCGCGAGTCAGGCAAGAAAGGAGACGTACCTGCAACCTCTTTACATTTCTCATAGAAGACGAGATACATCCCTGCATAGGGTGCGTCTCTTACAGCAGTCGCTGTGAATCCCTGGAAGAACCCTTTGATGCCTTGTGTCCGGTAGAGCGAAGAGAGGGCGCCGAATATTGAATTATAATCTGAATACCTGCTACTCTGTAGTCTCGCATTAGCCTACACCCCTCCAAGCACATGTAGAGAGACTCACTTCGAATCTCGCCTTGACCACCGTTATTGGGCTCAGAACAAAGCCCACCGACGTCCGTCCTACAGCACCTGCCAACAGGTTGCCTCCAGAAGAAAGCTTGACAATCGCCGATCTCGACCCCCCTTCTGTCTTGACACCCAATGGTGACTTTGAGTTGCCTATAGGCGCTGCTGGTACAGTTATGGCAAAGTATGGGATATGCGATAGGCGATTACGGATGTGGGAGAGAGAGTAGAAGTATATGGCTACACCGGGGACATTTCTACGTCATTTGTCAGACCTATCGCCTTTTTGCCAGCGAACAAGGGGGAAGAAGGGACGTACCGTACTAATGTTGGGACTGTTCCCCTCCAGAGACCTTGAATACCATCGTCTTTGAGGACTTGGGTGAAAACGCCTCGTAGTCTTTGTCTATATAGCCCGATGCCCATTTGTCAGCGATCGATCTTTCTCCATACTTGTCTTTCGTTCACTCTCTTCACATATCCACCTCCATATCATGTACTGGCTGCCGTACCTTTTGTTAGCAACACCCCCTTGGCTCTGCTGAAGCCTAGTCTTGAGCAGATCGAGAGGCTGGAGGACGATGGCCGAGGAGAGACCAGACAGAGCACCAGAAGCGAGGTGGTGGGATGCTTGGAGATTTACTTTGCTGGCGGGAGGGGATATGGGGGCGGCGGTGGAGACGGGGAGGGGGAGGGCCATGGCGGTGGTGAAGAAGAATGGAAAATGATAGAGGAGAGTAGCCGAAAACCGAAAATGCGCGGCAAGTCGTCGCGCCCGCCGGCCAAATAGTTGCGAATGCATTTGTGAACGACGCTTTCATAGTCCATGGATATATCTGCTACTGTAGCATACAGGACTCGGTAGCCCATAGACAGCCATGGTAATGCCCTTATCATCGGTGCCGCATGCTGCCCCCGCTGACAGTGTTCCCAGGACAACTCGGTCGACTCTCTCCTCGCCCTCCTCCGCTCGACCCAAGACGGACCTCCTCCCCAGCCAACCACCTCCAACAGCAACACATCCAATACCCGCCAAGTCCCTTCATCGTCCCAGCTCAGCGACCTCCTCACTTCTCTCAATGCCCGGCCGGCGCCCAGGCCGCCAAAGCAAGGCGGAGCAGATCAAGCGCAAGGGCGAGCCAGGAAGGACATCCTAGAGCCCTTTGGTCCGGTAGGCGTATCTGCTAGGCCATCAGTTTCACCAGTGAAGAGGAGCAGGGAAGATACCAGTCGTGGAGGGAACGAGGAGGAAGGATCCTTTGGGCGAGTGAGGCAAGTGAGCAGAGGGGAGAGCTTTGATGGTGGGCAAGTCAAGAGCGCTAGAGTGGAAGAGCCGGCATTGGATGAGATGTCTTTTGGAAAGGCTCTGCCTGTCATAACACGACTATTAGAGGATGACAATCTCAAGACAGAGCTGCGAAAGGTACGTGTCTATAGCATCGGATCAAGCTGACGCCCGACAGATGAAACAAGATCAAGACTCTCTTGAGAGACGTTTATGGGCCAAACAAGAAAAGCTCAAGGGGGACCATGAAAGGCAGACTAAAGCCGAAAGAGAAATGTGGGTGTGGCACGACCGACGCGTATGCTGATGATTGTGTAGAGCGAAGATTGCTCGGAAGCCAATACCCCCGGAGAAGACCAAAGTACGCCCTTCATATTCTCAAGTCCCTTCCTATTGACGAGTGTCTTGTCTCTAGCAATGGTCTAGATCCCTTTCAACAGCGCTCTCGACATTCTACACCCAGCAATGTATACCCTCCATCGACGGCCTTGCCTTTCGGCAGCGTCAGCGTCTGAAAGAGCTGGGGGTTCCGGGGCTGGGCCGAGAAGATGGCGTGGTGGATGAGAAGGTGAAGCAGAGAATAAAGAGGATCATGGAAGTGCTTGAAGGTGGTTTGGAGGATTGAACAGGGAATATGGACGGATATGAGGATGTGCCAGCAGCGCACCGGACAGCGGACCCCAGACCAAGCAGATGTTGCTGGGGGCTTCTCTCATCGAAGATAGAACAGCCTAGACATTTACACCAAGCACAAGTAGCACATCTTTGCCCTTCGCTCTGCCGCACAGTGCGTTACCCTGCATGCAGGTTCATCTACATCCCGAACTCGTGCGTGAGCAGGAGTGGTACTCGGGAAAACTGATATTGCTCGGCTTTTCCGCTCGAGGCTCCCATCAGATTCATACTCCTACCTCCGATTGTAGTCCAGGGAAGAGATGCAACTGGCCACGCACTACATACCCGGGGCGCAGTAAGTCCGTCAACGTTGGGTGAGTGATTGCCCCCGTCCCGCCTCCACTCTTGGCCATGACGTCACCGATGGCATTCCGACATGGCGAGTGATCTTGTGGCCGTTGTGTTTCGGCTGCTACTCGGGCTGCTACTCACGGGACAGGGACGGCAGATCCGGTCAACTGACCACCCCCAGTATGTCATCTTATGCCGAACATGGATCCATTCCGCATCATCGTTTCTTCCTCCTCATCTCTCGCTTGACCCGCCATGCCCTCCTTCTTGGGCCTTGCTGCCCTCCCTCTCCTCGGCCTCGTATCCGCCCAGAACATCACCCAGACCACCTCCTTCTCCTTCTCTCCCACCCCCGTCACCACGAGTGTACCCTCGCCCACTGTTCCTCTCAATTCTAGCGTAGACGGGCAAGGAGACTATCCCGCTATACAAGGTAAGTCTTGCGCGCAGATGGATCCGGGGACTGACATTGTCATCTAGCCCTCTGTGATGGAGGCGCCGACGTTCCCTTTTGCCCCGGCATACTCTTGCAGGATGTGCAGCTCGCTGGCATCTTTGCGGACAGCAAGGTAAGCATTCCACTCGGCCGCACTGCCGCAGCTGTCAGCTTACGTCAGTCTAGACTTTTGTAGACAAGGTATGCACTCTCCAGCTGAAGAGGCTCGATGCTAAACAGGATAGCCTACCCTTAAATCTCTCAACGAGACTCAGGCAGCGTGGGAGGCCTTGACCAGTAATAGCAGCCACGTGACAGTTGGAGATATCCAGACGTTTGTTGAAAACAACTTTGTACGTTTCATGTTTCGCGGGAGACCATCTCTGACCCATTGTACAGAAAGGCGAAGGTCTCGAGCTCTCCCAAGTCGAACTTCAAAACTTTACAGACTCACCCGCCTTCCTCGACAATGTCACCGACCCCCTCTTCCAAGCATGGGCCAAGATCGTACACGGCTATTGGACACTTCTTGCCAGAGAGACAAACCAGTCAGCACTTTGCTCGGAGAGTGAGGAAGGTGGATGCGAGTCGAGCTTGATTCCCCTGAACCACACCATTATTGTTCCCGGTGGCCGATACAGGGAGATCTACTACTGGGACTCCTATGCAAGTACACAACCTGATGCGAGGGGTTGTCCGCTGACGTCAACTTGCAGTGGGTTCTTGAAGGCTTACTCAAATCGGAACTGTACGAATATGCTTGGGCCCTGCTTTCCAACTTTATGGACTTGATCGATGTAAGCCTGTCATTATTACGAAGAGACCAAACCCTGACATCCTACAGACTTATGGATATCTCCCCAACGGCGGCCGCAAGTACTACCTAAACCGCTCCCAACCTCCCGTCTTTGTCCAGATGCTTGACGCCTACATCAAAGTTACCTCCAACATCACCATCCTCGAACGTGCCCTCCCCATCGCCTCTTCCGAGCTTGAATGGTGGACAAACAACCGTACCACCAACATCACCTCCCCATACACCAACACCTCTGTCCTCATCGCGCATTACAACGTGACCAACTCTGCCCCTCGACCAGAGGGCTATGTCGAAGACTATGAGACTGCCAACTCTGCCGATTTGGCGCCGTTGAACCAGACGGAGAAGGAAGAGCTCTGGGCCGAGCTGGCGTCGGGAGCGGAGAGTGGGTGGGACTATAGTTCGAGGTGGTGTGAGCAGCCGTTGTTGAATGAGACGGATAACAACCCGGCGTTGAGGACGCTCAACGTGAGGAGTATTGTGCCGGTTGATTTGCTGAGTTTGTTGGCTGGTGATCATGCTTTGGTACGTCAATCTCATCGTGACAAGGATCATGGCTGATGAGAGGGATTAGCTTGCCAATTTGTATGAGCTGTATGAGAACAGTCAAAGTGAAGGCGGCGATAATTCGACTTCCAGCGACAATTCGACCTCTATCGCCAAACGTCAGGACGACAGTTCTGCAAGCGCCACCGAGAGTAGCACTGATAGCGCAAGCGCTACCGAAAGCGCAAGCAGCACCGAGAGCGCGAGTAGTGCGGAAAGCGCGACCAGTACCGAAAGCTCGACCATCGCCGATAGTACCACAGCACTTGGTAACAGCACGGCAAGCGCTACCGCCGCCTCGGGCAACGCGACCAGCACCGCCAGCAGTGGCAACAGCACTGAAAGCAGTTCCGCAAGTAACAACAGCACCGCAAGCAGTACAGCCAGCAGCGCCAACAGTACAGCGAACAGTACTACGAGTGTCACCGCGAGCAACGCAAGTGCTACCGCAAACAGTGGCGGCGGTATCATCAGTGGGAACAGTACTTCGAGCGGCAATGGTACCGAAAGCAGCGGCAACGACACCGCGAGCAAGATCGAGTATCACCGTGCTCTCTCTCAGCAATACGCCGCGGCCATTCTCGATCTCTGTTGGGACGCTGAAAAGGTAAAGTTTTCGACCCTCAACCCTTTGCCAGTGCTGACAATCCCCAAAGTCTTGGTTCTACGACTTCAACATCACCTCCAATTCTCGTTCCGAGATCTACCACCCTGGCGGTACCTTGCCTCTCTGGCAGAATATCACTCCTCCCGGCTTGGAGAACAACGAGACCGCCGCTTTGGCTTTGGTCAGTGGACAGAGGTACTTGTTGGGACATTACTCTGGTGTGCCTAGTGTAGCAAGTCTGTTGCAGACGGGGTTGAATTGGGACTTCCCCAATGCCTGGCCGCCTCATGCCTGTAAGTCTTTTCAGTGCAGGTATAAGAAGCATCAGTTGACAGTCCATCTCAAGACACGTCGATCAAGTCGTTCGAGACCATCGCTCGCCTTCTTCCCAACGCCTCCACGCTCCCCAACCTGACAATCTCTTTCGACGAAGTTGTCCCCTCCCAGCTCGGTCTCAACGAGTCCGACCTGCAGCCCCAGCCACAATCAACCATCGGCAACGTCTCTCTCACCACCGACACTTCCAAGGACCAGCCATGGCCTTTGGCTCTGTCGATCGAGTATGCCAATAGGTACTTGGGAGCGGCGTTCTGCAGTTGGTACTCGACTGGTGGTGAGATTGACGGGCTTTTGACGCAGTTGTCGCTCAGTGATTTGAACGTTACTGGGACCTACACCGAGGGCCAGTCTGGTGTCATGTTTGAAAAGGTACGTCTTTCCTCTAACGCCAGAGCCTTTCATTGACACGCCCGAATAGTTCAACGTAACGGACACGGATGCTGCCGGTGGTGGTGGTGAATACACCGTTCAAGTCGGTTTCGGCTGGACCAACGGTGTAGCCCTCTGGGCAGCTGCCGAGTACGGCCAGTACATCCCCTCGCCCACTTGTCCTCTCATCCCCATCCTCGAGGCCAACTCGACTGAAAGCTCGAACTCGACCTCGGAGACAAACTCGACCGACAGCTCGCGTGGGCCTACGGCGAGTGACAACTCTACAGAGTCAGGGAACAGTACGTCGACTACTACAACCTTGTTTGCTGGGTATAGGATCCCGAGGGAGTAAGAGTGCAAGGCGATCTAGTAGGACATTTGTGGAAAAAGAATCAGAATCGAAGGGTATTCAATCTCAAAAGCTATAATTATCTCAAAGATGTCATGTATCCGTATAATCTTTGATTTGCATATTGGTCTATCTGACGACCTCGTACACTTCTCCCTCGCCTTTCCACCCCTCGTTAGCCTTGCCCAATACCTGTCCCCAGAATTTCATCACGCTATACCACTCATCCTTCCCTCTCGGCATGCCCTCCCCTCCTCCCGTCCCATGAGCCACTTCAACCTCTCTGAACGCCCTTTTCAGCGTGTTCAGCGACTTTTGGTGTGCAGCTGATTGGGCCGGTTGGCGTGTGAAAGCAAGGACGGGTGTGGGGATGTTGAGAGTAGAGGTGGGGTGGGTGATGAGGGGCGCGCAGACTGAGACTATACTTCCCAGCCGCTTGCTTTCGCCCTCTTCTCCCTCGCCTCCATCAACCTTCACTATAAAGCCCTTCTTGCCGACGTCCACGCCCAACTCCAAGACGACCGTACCCCCCTGGCCCCATCCGAACAAATGGATATCTTCCAGCTTCCAGCCGATCTCTGGCGAGATCAACGTCGAGAGTAGGGAGCGGAGTGATGGGAGTGGTTTAGATGGGTTTTGGGAAGCTGGGGGGAGGGGGTTAAAGAAGGGGTCGAAGGCGGGGTACCAGGAGTATGAAGGGTGGTCCATCAGAGGGATGCTGAAGAGTGACAGTCTCAGCTTAGAATATCTCTGAGGCTTATGGTAACTCACGGATCAGGAGCAGATAGTGACAAGACAGCAGTAGATGGCAGGTTCAACTGTTTTGCCAGATTGAAGAACGGTGTCTTTGTGTCGCCTTTCGTATCATTATCAGCAACTGGTCTCTTTGTCTGAAGTGAAGGTTGGAAGCTCACCAAGTCCATGGAACATGATGAGAAGGTTCCTATCTTTTCCATCAGGCGATGATTGGTAGGTGAAGTCCCATGGTTTGAGGACAGATGGGGTGAGGAATGGTCTGGGAGATGAGGAGGAGGCTTGGACGGGGCGGAGGTTGAGATTGGACATGGTGTCGTGGCCGTTTGATTCGAAAGCGTTTTTGTTGACCGATTCTTCGATACTAAGCACTCTGAATGACCTGGGAATTGCTGATAGATGGTGTAGAAGGCAAAAGACGACCCAAGAGCAGCCCGAAAGACGATTTTGGCATCAAACCGCGCGCGGTGGAGGTCACAACAACCCGTACCTGAAAATCATCATCTCTTGCTTTTCGGCTCCTTTTTCCAAAGTCTTCTAACGTTTTAAAGCTAGACATTTCAATATGCTTTTCTGCCCGTACTGCGCCAACAATCTGACTATCGGAGATAGAGAAGATAGTGCGGACAAGTGTTGGTGAGTCTATGCCTATATGCTTGGAGGAGAGTGGAGGGCGGAGCTGATACGTTTGTGAATAGGATTTGTCCGACATGTCCTTACCAATTCATCATCGACAGACAGGTGGGTTCTATAAGCACTCATATATGCTATGCTTCGAAAAGAAGAAGGGAGCTGACTGTTTTCAGATCTCGATGCGAACACATTTGAAGCGAAAGCAAGTGGACGACGTTTTGGGAGGCAAGGAAGCTTGGGCGAATGTGGACAAGATCGATGGTAAGCCAGTGACTAGCGAACGAAGGAACGAGAATCCTGATATACTCGTTCTCATAGCTGCTTGTCCTAAGTGCGACTTCAGAAAAGCATATTTCCGACAATTGCAGATTCGGTCAGCAGATGAGCCTATGACCACTTTCTAGTACGTTTGCCTTGAGTGACAATACGGAGCTTAGCTGATGGCTTTTCCATAGCAAATGTGTTGAATGCTCTCATCAATGGCGAGAAGTGAGATACCCTCAACTATGCCTGAACGTGTGACAAGTGCTAACCCATCTTCCAGAACTAGATTGCGCCCATCACCAGCATCTACAACCCTATAATACTCTATAACGATCTCATGACACCCCATATAACAAATTTCTCTGTTCTGCAGCTTCTGTTCCTTCCAGGACCCAAGTCTCGCGCCTCAAATCAACAGCACTTTCACTGGACCTCTGCCTGTTCCATTGACGCTGGAGGGCGCAAACTCATACGGCGCTGTCCCCTGAAGATTTGCTGCATCTACAAATTCCGAAAGCCCAAACAAAGTAGGAGATGATCAACCGCCATGCTGATTCCGAACGTAGATGATGCGTGCCCACTGGATGCGCTCTCCTACCTCGACGGTGATGGTGACAAGCCTGCTCGTTATGTCATTGCCAGTATCATCTTTGGTGCAACGGAAGAGCCTTACGTTCAAGATCTTGTCGTCGGTCCTCTCCTCGTTTCGGATGACAAATGGCTTCGGACCTTAGGCAGAATATTGCCTGCTTCCTGAGAAGTAACGAAGACACACTGGAGGACCACTGGACGTAGCTGGAATTGCCCATGAGAAGGGGAACCTTCACAGTAGTGCTGCTGTTGTCGCGGACGAGTAAACCATCGTCGTGAGCGGACATTGTGATAGTGGGATGATCGTAGGATAGGTTGATTTTGTTTCTCGGCGTGGAAGATTCAAGGATTCGAGTACACGATGATATCGTCGATGTAGACGAGTGCGATCTGCCACTTATAACGGTCGAGCACCTTATACATCATTGTTTGAAAGACAGCGGGACCGTTCTTGGAATCGAAAGGCATGCATCAATTTCCACTCTTGTGGGTGTGGAAGGCGGACTTGGCATTCGCGTTGTGGTCGTCGAGAAGGATCTGATGCAAACTCGTTCGCGTCAAACGTGGAACCCACTGTCTGCCCGCAGAGTGAGACAGAAGATCGTCGATCACGGGGGGAGAGGGTATTGGTCGCCGCGAGTAATAGCGTCAACCTTTCTGTAAGTTGTAGAAAAAAGTCGACAGCAGAGGGGGTGGAGTTGGTTCTTGTCATCGGGAACAGGACATGTTGCAAAGTAAGACAGCTTGCAGTAGATTATATGAGCCATACGGATGCATGAAGAAGTTTTGATTTTTTCTCTCTAACACCCAATCCCTCACTCTCCCCTACGATGCGATCTATCCACCTTAAAGCATCATAGAAGACATGTCAGCCCTGATCCTAGTGTAGTCGAACAAGCCCTCGGTTCGGCCCAAAGCAGCGATAGCAATGTCCTTGTCCCAGAGGTACTTTTGGGCGACCCGCTGGATCTCGGCGGGGGTGACGGCGTCGACGTAACTTTCGATTTCTCGGGGAGTGTATCGCTTGCCGGTGGTGATGAGTTGACGACCGATCTGTAGCTATTGTCAGCGTGGAAAGGGGCGAGGAAGGGGGCGACTTACGTCCTCGGCGATGGCGGTGGTACCGTCAAGACCCAAAAGCAAGGAAGCCTTGAGCTGAGACTTGGCACGCTCGACCTCGGCGATCGTGGGGCTTATGGACATACGGGTCCATTCTCGGAGGGTAAAGTGGAGAAGGTCGTCAATGTTGGAGTGGCTATGCCTCTGTCAGTAGCGCCCCCGACTTTTTGGGGTCAGACTCACTTTTCAGAGACCAAGTAGATACCCCAAAGACCAGTGTCGGAGTAGGAAGTGGAGAAGGACATGTAGGAGTTGGCAAGGTTGTTGCTAGAGATGATGTGGGACAACCTGCTGCTCAACAAAGAGCTGGCACCCAAAGACCTATCCCAGTTACCAAAGATGGATTGCATGACGAGCATGGGCCAGTAATCGGGGCTCTTCCATCCGACACCCTCAACAGCAATAGCAATGTTGAGAGTGTCCATGGTGTCGTCTCGGATTCGGACTTCAGAACCAATGAAGTCGGCGGGGGTGTGAGACTGGCCACCGAGGGGAATGGGGTTGGAGGAAACGGGGAGGGAGGCAAAGTTCTTCTCGGCGAGCTTGACGAGGGTCTCGTGCTCGATGGAACCGGCACCGATGAGGGCCATTCGGTCGGCAGTGTAGTTGGTCTGGATGTAGTGTTGGAGGTCACCCTTGGAGATGGAGTTGATGTGCTCCTTGGGACCAAGGATGGTGTTTCCGAGAGCCTGGCCTGTGTGCTGTCAGCAAAAATCGCCCAGCGATTGTAATTTACGCACCCTGGAAAGCGACAGCGTGCAGGTGGTCAAACACAACCTCCTCGTACTGCTTCTCAACCTCCTCCTGCTCCCTCAGGATCACATCCCTCTCCCTCTCGATGGCAGTCTCCTCAAGCTTGGAGTTTTGGAGAATGTCGGAAAGAATGTCGACAGCCTGGGGAACGTCCTTGTCGAACGCCTTGGCGTAGTAGACAGTCTGCTCTCGGGAAGTGTAGGCGTTGAGGTGGGCACCGAGGTTCTCGACTTCGAGCTCGAGCTGGGTCTGGGATCGGGACTTGGTACCCTTGAAGGCAAGGTGCTGCAATATTGTCAGTTGTGGTCGTTATTTTGCTTGTTGTGGGCTGGGGTGTATTCGGCGCCAACGATCGATTTTCACGGTCCCCGGTCACCAGGTGCCTTCTCATTGAATAATCGCGCATATGACCCTTACAACCCCATCGGAGCCATCGTGTTAGGCTCATTCGATCTCCCCCATGCCCAATGACAATTTCCGCCCATCCCTGGGCATTTTGACGCCCAACAGCGAGATTCCACCAATCGCCCAACCGCGTCTTGCCATTTTCAAACTCCCCATCGATTTCTTGATTCGGCTCCTATACACCTCCCAGTCCACAACAACAATTTCCCTACTTACCTCAAGGAAGTGGGCGGTACCGCTGGCGTTAGCGGCATCGGCCCTGGAACCAGCATCGATCCAAAGTCCAACAGTCGACGTAGACGCGCCGGGGATAGTCTCGGTGGAGACGCTCAAGCCGTTGGAGAGAGTAGAGGTCTTGGTGACGGGGTCGGCAGAGATGGTGACGGGGTGGACGGCGGCGAGGTTTCTGGCGAGGGACTGTGGTTTTTTCAAGCAGGACCGGACGAGCAGAAAGTCAGCGACCAATGACAAGGCTTGTATTTAAACGAGGGATTTTCTTGGAGGGGGATTGACTGACCGGCTTGAGGACCCTGGGCGCCGGGGGGCGGGCGATGGCTCTGGAGAGGATCCTGGCGGACATGGCGGGGGATGTGAATGCAAGAGAAGAGTAGCGCAGGCATACATAGTAGGATAGAGAGAGAGGATTACATAACACCGCTATAACCCCGGCGTGGCACTGCCAACACCATCAGCGCTGTCGACGGTCTTCTATGCATGCATCCGCCATGGCCCACTTCAACCAGCCCTACCAGCAGTATCCCCACGCAGCACAGCCCAGCAACCTCCAGTTCTACAGCGCCGCGCCCTATGACGCCCGCCCGGAGGGGAGCATGGCCAGCGCCTATGGCGGCAACATGGGCAGCATGGGTAGCATGAACCTCGGGGGGTCCAGCATCGACAACGGGAGGTGGTGGGAGGCGTTTGGAACGGGCGGATTCGATGGGGAGCCGAGTCTGATGGAAGGTGCGTTGGAAGGACTCGGCGAGCTCACGCGAACGCGGACTGACGCGTAGTGGTGCAGAACTCGGCATCAACCCCTCGCACATCCTCCAGAAATCACTGACAGTGCTGAACCCGTTATCAAAGGTGTCTGGGAATATCATGGACGATGCGGACTTGGCGGGGCCTTTCGTCTTTTGCTTTGCCTTTGCGTTCTTCCTGTTACTTGTGAGTGTTCTTGTGTCAGGCGGGTGCTCTTGGTTGCTTTGGGCGGGTGTGCCTTAGCCTTGTGATGCTTGCATGACTGCAGGACATTCATGTCCGGTGCTGTTCTGAAGCCTTGTATGTGATGACGCGAGACGAAGATCGCATCAGCGGCTGGTGGCAGGAATGACTCAACTCTTGAGTACTTCATCTACTAGCAGCCTAGACGAGAGCACCCATGCCCTAAATCCAACCATGAGTCCCCACGCTGACCCCCTCTCAGTCCGGCAAACCCCAATTCTCCTACATCTACGGCGTCGGCCTCCTCGGCACAACGGCCATCTACCTCCTTCTCAACCTCATGTCCGAAACCGGCATCGACGCCTACCGCACCGCCTCCGTCCTCGGCTACTGCCTCCTCCCCATGGTCGGTCTCGGCGGCCTGGGCATGGGTGTCGGGATCGACTCTGCTGTCGGGTACGTCTTGAGCGTGGTCAGTATCGCCTGGTGTACGCATTCGGCGAGCGCAATCTTTGTGGCAGTGTTGAGGATGGATCATCAGAGATTGTTGGTGGCGTACCCGATTGGGCTGTTGTATGGGTGCTTTGCGCTGTTGAGCATCTTCAATGTAAAAAAGTAGAAACGTCACATCTTCGTCTAGTCATGCATTACATATCCACATAAAACATCATCTAATAGAGCCCGGCGAATTCGTCCTTCTTGGGAGCGGCAGCCTTCAAGTCGTCTTCAGAGGGGAGTTTGACCGAAGGCTTGGGGGCGGGAAGGAGGGAGGCATAGGGGGCAAGGATGGCGTCAAACTCGAAATCGTCCGAGCGAGGCAGGGGAGTGGATTCTGCATCCAGTCAACGTCTTATCCAACTTGCATCTACAAACTTACCGTGCTTGACAATAGGCTCAGCGGGCTGGGTCGCCTTGGACATTCCCTTCACAATCAACCTCCTCAACGCCGCACCATCCAACGGCGCCTCCTTCTTCTTCTCCCCTCCCTCTCCCGGCGCATTCTTGGCCTCTGTCAACTTGTTTTCACTCGCCCGCCTGCCGCTGGCGCCCATCGCGTCTGTTACCAGCTTTTCAGCCGAGCCGTAGGGGTTCTTGATCTTGCCGAGGGCGACGAGGACGTCGCCTTTGGTGAGCATGCCGTGTCGGCCGGTACCCTTGAGCTTGGAGATCTCCTCCGAGGTGAGGGAAGACTCTTGCAATCTACCGGATCGTCAGCGCACAGAAGTTAAACTGGAGGTTGGAACGTACAATCTAGACACACTAGGGAACAATGGCTTGGGGTGCTTGATCTCCTTGTGCTCATGCGGCTTCCTCTCATCCCTAGGGTTCTCCCTACCTTCACTCTTCACCTGCTCACTAGCCGCCTCCTTCTTCTCCTCTTTGGGCGCACTAGACGAGGGGGAAGCTTCCTCCTTGGGCACCTCGAGATTGGAGATATCATCCCCTTCTTCAGCGAGGATGGCAATGATTTGGCCGACAGGAATGTTTTTGGCGCCGTTTTGGATGATGATCTTGCCGAGGATACCGTCTTCTTGGGCTTCGACGTCGATTGTGGCCTTGTCGGTTTCCTATTCCACCTTCATCAACCTCCAATCTCTACGAACAGAGGATAGGGAGACTCACGACTTCAAGCAAGACATCACCAGCAGCAAACGAGTCTCCCTCTTTGAGTTTCCACTCGGCAACACCACCCTCCGTCATGGTAGGCGACATGGCAGGCATGCCCATATTTGTTGTCGCAAATCGGACATTTTGAAGAGCTGTTGAGGCGTGTCACATATCGCGTCATCAGAAAATCCAGCCATGGGTTCAATGCGAGTGATTTGATGTTGATCAAAGCACACATTAGTAGAGATAAAGAAGAGTCGAAAGATCAGCACCCTTGCGCAAGCACTTGAGAAGCCACGTACCTCTCCTCTCAACAGCAGCCCTGGCCCCGTTTCTGAGCAAACCCATAGCCTGTCTGGTAGTCCTCATCTTTACTGTACTCGTGTTTTGGCGGGGGATAGTGGGATGCGCGAAATGATAGAGCAGCTGGGATCTGAGTTCGGTGCGGTGGGGAGCGCCGCAAAGACCCAAAACACGGAAACGGCTGTTGCCCTCGGCTCGGAAGAGGATTTGGTCCCGTCGTGGCGGTGTTGGGTGATGGGCGCCACAAACGGATGCGAGCTGTCGCAGGGGGAGATGGTAGAGAGCTGTCAGTCCCCTGACCTTATTGGAGGGAGATATATAGTCTGGGTATAGTACTGAGGCTCTTTAAAGCGGGGTTCACAGATGCATACGCGTTAGCGACGACCATCCGCCATTCGGCCGGGGCTCTTTTGCTCGCGTCTTCTTGCTAGAGTTGCGACTCTGCGTTCCATTTCTACTTTCAAGTTGAGCGCATAGACCCTGTAGTCAGATATCTTCAGAACCGAGGCCATGAGCAGGATGTTGTCAGCTTGTTTTGCGCTCAATGCCCGACTTTCCCTTGATAACTGCACGGCCCAGCTAGAAGCTTAGCGTGCACGGCTGGCACGGTCACGGCGCTCGTTCGGTGATGGGATCGAAACATTGGACTTCTGAAACATTTTGAAGTGCAAGTGCAAGCCCCACCAGCCACTCTCGATTGTTCCTTGAGTGTTTCATACCCTGATCATCATTTGCTTGTCTCGGTGTCGCTCAACACTACGCCCTGGCCGCTTGCTTGGCCAGTAGGACCTATTGCTTTCTTGTGCTCAATGAAATATTTGACACACTCCAGCCTATTGAAGTATCACTCATCATGTACTCAGACTAGCACATCAAGCAGCTGATGAATCGACACACTCGTTCTTGTGCCCCTTCTCCACCCATGCCTGAGCTGCACAGAAATAATCTATTCCGCTTGTCTGGACAGCTGGCTCTTGGTAGTCCTAAATTCTCCAGAGAGCATGGGTGATGTGTTCCGGGAGCGGCGTCAACCATCACACCGGACCGCGGCTGATACCATTTGCACGAGTGTCTTCCTGCATTGCATTTGCTTCTTTGGGGCTATCGGCGCTAGACTGGTTTGAACACCTGATTAGCAGCTGTGTCAATCCAAGGTCCATACTACAATAATGTGCTTTTGATCAAGCGCCATGATCGACTCGGCGCATCTGGTGCCAGGGAAAGGTCTCATATCATATAGCAACAGTGGGAGGATAGAAAAGGGATAGTCCTGCCTATTCTCTTCTTGTCGTGTTTCTTTCCGGAAAGAGTTGATTATTGGACAGGTCTGTGGAATTAGTATCTTTGGAAATGGGTCATGTCTGGCATAGACGTCGATATCAAGTACGCTCGCCAGGGTTGGAAAGGCTGGCCGCCGCCGCCGCTCGTGCGTCGACAAGGCGGAGCAACCGACAGGGGTGTCCCTGATATCCACGTGTCTGCCTTTGCGACGACCACAGTCTGTGAGAAGTTGTTGAACTGTATGGTCATGACTCTCTCTGTAGAACTTTCGGCACATTCACTGCGCGGCAAAAAGTTCAGAGAGATCTTCACTTGACGATATACTGTATAAGTCGCATGAGTTCTTGATCTATCTCGGCCGATCCCCCAAGCATGATGCCTTTACTCTCGTTCGACTCGATCCCCACAACGTAACACGTGTGCTATTGACACAAGCGCCACGAAGGACGACGCCTGCTGACATGATACCCGAAATAAAGCTCGGCAATGACGATCAGCGTTTAAACGAGATTTCCGTTCCTCCGCTTCTCGTATCTGCTGGCGGCAAAACGGTTGCTAGGATTCAGAGTTACGGAGCCGAAGTGAGATCAAACGCCGTGCCATGAATAAGCACACACACTTACTGTAGCTCAGCCAGCTGCCAACTCATGAATGACTGGTATGCAGCGTGCAGATAAGGGAGGGTCTACACGGCCGGCCTACTGCTGAATTGTGCCGGATGTCGACGAAATGTCTGCTTCAGCCACCGAGGCTGGGACCCGTCTTTCCATGGGTACGATGTCTTTGCAGCCTCTCCCTGGCCCCGCTATCTGCAACCTCGCCTATCATCACTCGCGATCCTGCTGTGCTCGCATGTCAGACACCGCCAGGAGTCCGAGTCGGCGGCGCACCAAGCCGATAATAAGGACGGTGTCTGAGAATTACCCAAAGAGGCAATTTCTGCGCAATTCTACGCGATTCCGCGCTGTTAAAAACTGTTAGAAACCGTAAGAACGGTCGACATTTGTAATCAGCCCTGAACTCGGCTCACGTCGGAGGCCGCCAATCTATTTAACCCCAGCAATTCACATCTCTTTTCTCTTTTCTCTATCTCCCACCACCAAAAACAAATCATCACAATGTCTGCCTACCCCCTCCCCCAGATCCAGAAGCCCGCCCCGTGAGTACTTCTTCCCCCTGTGCGACGGTGCGACACTCGACAGCCTTCGGCCGATCTTTCGTCGTGCCATGCTTTGCCCACCTCCAGGTAGCGCATCTAGCTGACCATGCTTGCAGTAACTTTGCCGGTACCGCCGTCAAGGAGGGTTCTTTCGAGGAGATCAAGCTCGCCGACTACAAGGGCAAGTGGTAAGTCGATTTTCCCCTTGCGCGCTTATCTACGGAACTACCGCTGATAAAGCCATTAGGACCGTCCTCTTCTTCTACCCCATGGACTTCACTTGTAAGTTGCCATCCTTCACCATCACGCCAAAGCTGACTTTGTAATAGTCGTCTGCCCCACCGAGATCCTTGCTTTCAACAAGGCCCTCGACCAGTTCTCCGCCATCGGCGCTGAGCTCATCGGTGTCTCTACCGACTCCGAGTTCACTCACCTTGCCTGGTCCCAGACCAACAGGAAGGAGGGTGGTCTTGGTCCCGACCTCAAGCTCACCTTGGTACGTTTCTTCCACATCTCTCATCTTGCCTTGCTGACCTTGCCGTAGCTTGCCGACCGAAACCACGCCGCCGCCAAGGCCTACGGTGTCCTTCTTCCCGAGGAGGGTGTCGCCCTTCGAGGTACCTTCTTCATCGACCCCACCGGTACCCTCCGTGCCATGCACGTCCACGACCTCCCCGTCGGCCGATCCGTCGAGGAGACCATCCGTGTCGTCAAGGCTTTCCAGTTCACTGACGAGCACGGTGAGGTCTGCCCCGCCGGCTGGGAGGAGGGCAAGGACACCATCGACACTGCCAACAAGTCCGCTTACTTCTCTAAGCAGTAAGCTACCGTTCTTTTCTTTCACGAGTTAAGAGCTGGAGTGAAGATGGTGGTGGTAGAGGGACCGATAGAAGACAACAATTAGATATAGAAAACAGAGTATAACTGCCAGAAGATTATGGAGCTAGATGTCAACTCTTATTCTGCAACAAGCGTGCAACTCGTCTTCTGGAAATCTCTCTCCACTGCCATCATTACACTCTTGCTCTGTCTCTTCGTCATAAGGATACTTTTCTGAAGCCTTGATTGTAGAGCCGAATCGGAAGCCATGGAAGTGGACGAAGCCTCAACTAAGCGGGCCGCTCAAGGCTCACCTGCCAACAAGGCCGCGCCCAAGAAGGCAAAGAAGTGAACATATGAAGATCAGTCTCAAAACCGGCAGGACCCGGTTCCTGTATAGTTGTCACAAATACACATTACCCACGAAGAGCAGAAACCAGCACATATGCATTTATACCAACTCAAGATCTCCCAAGCGTTCACCTCTTACACCCCCTAGTCCAGCTTTTCATGCTCGATGCTCAAAGGCTCGATCTTGGCTTCTTGCTTCTCTGCCGCGAAAGGAGCGTTGGGCACGGGAGCTGTGGTCCGGTCAGCATGAAACCGCTTGGAGATAGAGAGACCTACCCTTCGCAGGAGTAGGCTCCAAAAGACCCTGAACAACCTCTTTCACAGTAGTCAATACCTTCTTACAAACCGCCCCCCAAGCTCCCGAACTGACCGCACCAAGCGGCGCCGAGGGAAAGCTCAGAACCCAAGCCACGGGGTACGGCACCCATCCCTCCGGGATCCAGAATACAGGCTGCTTGCGGAACCACCACACGAGTACGAATTGGGCACCGGTCGTGAGAAGCCAGAGGAGCCAGCTGAATCTGGAGGTGAAGGAGGAGCGGGATGTTTGGAGGGTGGTGTCTGATTTGACCGGTCAGCTTGGGGAGAGAATGGAGGGGAGGGGAGGGGAACGGAGAGAGACGTACTGATCTTTTCCAAGTCGGCCATGCCCTTATCGAGCCTTCTCCTGATCTTGGCCCATTTCGCGAATTGATCTTGCGAACTCGTCCGTCCCAGTTCGGCCTTGTCCTCGAGCACTTGTTTGCGGAGGGCTCTTTGTTTACGGGCGGTGGAAGAGAGAACAATTTTGGAGTAGGCCGCAAACGCCTTGAAGAAATTCTGTCAGCTTGTGGTCGTAGGATAAGAAAGATACGTACGATTTCCTGGAGGACAGACTTGCCAACCCACGAGACCACTTGCGTGAAGAAAACGGCAAGGAATATTAGTAATGCTAAGTTCAGCATCTTCGAAGTCAGCGTCTCTGTGAGAGTAGACGTTGAAAGCGAGAAATGTGGCTGGCGGGGCGGAACGTATGGTTGTGGAAGAATGGGATGGAGTCAAGATGGAGTGAAAGAGAAGAATGGCGCTGTGCCTGGAGAGTGGAGGTCTGTCGAGTGTCAACAAGTGGTTGGACGTTCAGCGTGTTTGCTGGTGGACGCATACATACCTGGGGTCGTCTGGAGCTGTATTGAGAAGCACCTAGCGATAGAAGCAACTTAGAGGATGAGGGCAAGAATTGAGATGGAACTGGAATGCGACGAGGCGGCTTGCAGTCTTTCATTTGTATATGACCTAGGGAGGTATCTTCAGTCCTTATCTCACTTCCTGATTCCCTAACTGTTGTGCGCTTTCTTATTCAGCCCTCGAGGCTATCTCGACATCGAATTTATCACTAGGCCGGAGATGAGATTGACTGAGTGACTGCTCGACGCACTGAGAATTTGATCCCGTCTGTTTGCTTCGGACAAGGGACGATTGAAGTCATAAAGAATCATCCCGGCCTCCAACTAACCATCTTACATATACTCTCAACTTTTGCGATACACACCCATAGATTCGAAACATGTCTGGTCAAGCAGCAGATGGTTATACGGAAGAGCAGAGGGCCGCCGCCGTGAGCCACTCTCCGCATCTACATCGCTATACACGCTGATATGTTCATGTTTTGTCTTTCCTGTCATAGTGGGCAGCTGTAAGTCCCCGGATTATGAGTGAACATCGGATGGGTACTGATCCAACGTTCCATAGTACTACGCTCAACAAGGCTACACCGAGCCAGCCGCCGCCGCCGCCGCCCCTTCCTCTTCCTACGCCTCCTATAGCACCGGGCCTCATCCCGCCTCAGCCTCAACTTCCTACGGCGCCAGCTACGATGCGGACATGCTCCAGCAGTCTTCGGTATACACGCCTCAAGGAGCGGCGGAAGCAAAGCACAGAGCGCCGGGCAAGCGAGAGACGGTTATCAGAAAGGCAAATGGAAAGGTCTGGGAGGATCATAGTCTGATCGACTGGGATCCCAGTACGTTCTGCCCTTCAAAACCGAGTCGTCAAAGCTGATCAGTACAAAGAATGGTTCAGACTGTTTGTGGGCGATGTCAGTAATGATGTGAATGAACGGACTTTGAACGAGGCGTTTGAAAAGTATCCGAGCTATTGCAAGTGCAAGGTTGTGCGCGATCGTTTGAGTGAGAAGGTGAGCTTTGCATGCTTGGTCGTTGAGATTGATGGCTAAAATGAGTATAGGCCAAGTATGGTTTCATCGCTTTCAAAGACCCGGAAGACTTCCTCAAAGCTTGGAAAGAGATGGACGGTACGTCTTTCTCGATATCTACCACGCTTCTTTACTGATGTCTTCATAGGCAAGTATGTCGGTAACAGACCTATTCGACTCATGAAGGTCAAGGACGACAAATACGGGTCCATCCGAACGGTCGAGATCAGCGGAAAGAAGGTAAGTGGCTGATAATTCGTCGTGCGCAAGATACTGATGACTGCGACAGGCAAAGCAGCTCGAGAAGATCAAAAAGAACCACGGTAAAGTGGGTAATCGACCGGCACCTTTCTAGGGGGGTTCAGTCTGTGTAGATGCGGCATTTTTTGTTCTGATGTATTCGCGTTTGGAAACCAAAATCCCAGGATGCATCATATCATGAGCGTCAAATACAAGACAGTACGCGTACTACTCCCACTAGGTATACTATAGGCGATCGTAGGGCCTCACCACAAACACAACAATGACTTCTTCCTTCCTTCCTTGATAGACATATACTTGCTCTATTCCTTTTCACCTCGCGGTGTATAACCCTTCATTCCCCTCGGTGTCATCACACTCTTCAGCCCACCCGTTCTCCTCGGTGTCATTCCAGCTACAACCCCTGTCCCCGGTCTTCTCGGCGTCATACTACTCATCGCTGGCATTGGAGCCACCTTGGCAGCAGCAGCAACAGTCTCTTCAGACTGAGATTTCGCCTCTGCCGTCGCGAGCGAGCGAAGGAGGGACATGGCATCCAGGCGCGGCTTTTTCGGAGCGAATGTTGTTGATGCAGCGGCAGATTGTCGGGCAGCAGCAAGAAGCGCAACCGTATCGGGTCCATCCTCGTCTGGCGGTGGCAGTGCCGGCGCAAGCCCCAGCATCTCCCTCGCCCTCAAATCTGCTGTCAGGCTCGAGAAGATTCCGTCCAAGAATCTCGAGCTCTGCATCACATACTGCAGCGCCACATGACTCGTCTGATGAATCATGTCCACCTTGAACTCTACTTCCTCAAACTTGCTCGCATTGTCGCTGGCTTCAGCTTGCGCCTCGGCTGAAGAGGGGGCGACAGGAAGGCTGGGGTCGAGGTCTGGCTGAGCAATGATTTCTTCGGTGACGGCGAGGATCTGTTGCATCCATGTAGGAGCTTTGGACATGTCGGGGTCTGCGTTGGCCATCATCTTCTTTTCTAGACGGCGAATGGTGTCTTGTTGGCGGCTGTTGGCAGCAGTGGCGATGGCAGACCATTGGGCACCTTCTTCTTTGAACCTGATGGAACGAGTCAGCTTTCTTCAAGCCGCCCTTGGAATACGACGCACCTTCTGACGACCGAAGTGATCTCCGCTTCTGTCCGGCGGTTAGCCACATTTCTTGGATGTGGCCGTAGGCCAGAGATGGAGAATGGCTCGGTCTCATCCTGAGACGCAATCAGCTTTGACCTCATCAACAACTTGATAAAACTTACCCCTATTGACGAGAACGTATTCGTCTCCACAAGCCCCTTCGACATCTTGTGATGGAAGTCGTCCATTATTTCCTTTATGAAACTATCTCCTCCATCTGTTCTGCGGGTATCTGTCTCCTTTTCTTTGCCTTTGCTCGAGGAAGACTTGTGTCTTAAGGCTTCGCGGGTCGCTTGATTGGCATTCCATGTTATGAGAATTCGCGCCCTGTGGGGATCAGGAAGGCCAGAAGGAAGATGTCGATAGAGCATTCGATAGTCGATGGATTTGTGAGGCATCGCTGTACCTCGATCAGCATGGCCCAGCTGCTGATTCCTGACACCACCTACTGATATCACCTCTCCCGAAGCTAGTGCTCGCTCGACCACCTCGGTCCTTACTGCCCCTTCTGCCCGTTTCTTGCCTATACTCCTTGTTCCTGTTGATCACCGGCGTCTCGCTCTCCACTAATGGTGCCGCATAGTGCGTGAGCACCTCTGACGTACGCGCTTGAGGGACAATGCTTTTTCTCGTCTTTCGCACAAAGCCGACAGGCGGGCCCATGGCACCTTTTGTGGATGCAGGCGTTTTGGACGACCCGGCGCGTGATGAATTTGATGAGAAGGTTCTCCGGGGAGGGGAGGCTGGCCGGGCTTCTGAAAAGCGCGGTTTGTCGCGTTTGAACGATAGATGTGGAACCGCTGGCGCTTTCCCAGATTGTCTCATTGATGCCGTCTCTTCCACCCCGGCGAGAGGATCATCCTCGGTCCCTCTCACATCGCGGGATGATCGTTCCACGCTCTTGCCTCTGCTTCTTTCACTGTTCTTTTCTCCCACCTTCTGCTTCTTGGCGGGGTTTGGGCCGGGTTGCAGAGTCATTTGTGGAGGCGGTGACTCTGATGCAGGCCGGCGCGCAGGATCTCGCCGACGAGCAGGCTTCGCGGATGGTGGTGGTGGGGGCAGGTTCAGAGGTATTTCCTCTTCAGGGGGAGTATTTGAAGAGTCTGGTAGTGTCACTGGTTGTGGCTGAAATCCCTTTTTGCTCTACGCGTAAACATTAGCCATCCGATTCTCACATTCACCTTGCCGCTCCTCGGCGTGCATCCTCTTTCCCACTCACTCCTTGTTTCTTCTTCTTTGGCTGCGCAGCATCCCCTTCATCATCCCTGCCCCCTGCGGTTGACTTTCGCTTGCCATTGACGGCCTTCCCGCCGGTATCCAGCTCGTTCGATAACCGTGTTGATCTTCTGCTCGCCATTCGTGTGATACTGGTCGGTGAGGTATGATTCGAGTACCGAATGTGAGCTGTGCTTCGTGGCTGAGGCAGATGTGTCCGGCTGCTGATGCTGAGGCTCGTGATGGCGGATGGTGGGATATAGAAGACGGCGGGGAAATAGAAGAAATGGACGCAAGAGGGGATCCGCGCGTTGTTTGTTTTGATTCCTCTTTCACAACATTCAGGGAAAACAGGTGGCGATTATTTATCTCGCGTTTTTGTACTTTTATCCCAAGTGTCACCTCGTTCAACGATACGACACTAAGTTTTGTGCAGAAGGTCGCGATGGATAGGCCAGCAGGGGTGCGCTTCCTTTGTATGTACAATGGTCTGTGAGCACGTGGGCGGAATATCAACTCATGAGCTCCCCGAAGTAGGCATATGGTGGACGGTGATGACGATATCCCGGAGTTCGTCCTTGTCGTCTGCGAAAGAGACTGGAAGTACATGTTTCGAGTGTAAAGATGTAGTCCCTGAACTTAAACCTCTTGACTTTGACCTCAGTAGATTGACGAATATGTTACGACGAACAGCCACAGCATCATGACCCCATTAGTCATTTTGTTTCCGAGGGTCATGATCACTGTCGAGGTGACTCCCCGGGGCTGTTGAGCATAGCTGTGGTATGATCTGGATAGATTATCTTCCCCCTTGTCATCTCGCGGCAAGCCAAGTAACCCGTTGTCTGGCTGCTCTGCGTGAATACGCAGTACGGGGCATCTTTCTGATTTGTTGTTGGAAGATGTAGAAACAATCATGTTGTCCCTGATTTCTCGGTCCTTCGTCTATGTAGTTTAGTAAGCCTTGAACTGCATATATGATGTCCGAAATGGGTCGGTCCCTCCTCGATGGCCGAGGATCAGCCTTTGGGAAATTCAAAGCCTCCGGATCAACAGTCACTGTACTTTCGTATATACACGAGATGCTATATCCTGATCAACTGAATAAACCCAAGTAGTTCTGCGGTAGTGTCAGGGTCCGAGAAGAGGCAGAGAAACTCCAAAGCTGCCCTTGTCCTTTGTATATATTGGTAGTTGAACGAGCTCGGTGATCCGCGGTCATCTCTCGGCTAATTCCCGGTCTGGGTGCCTTGCCCGACTCGAAGTCTGGGATTGTCTCCTCTTCGATGATACTTTCTTTCGTTGAATCACACTGTAGCCATTGGCGTTTTCACCATGCCCCAGTCCCCGAGGATCAGTACAGTGCTCTTTGTTGCGGTCGCTGCCATCGCCTTTCTCGTCGGTCGGATTTCCTTCTCCCAAAATAAGCTGGACGACAGATCTAGCGCCGACAGATCTTTAGCAAGTACGCACGACCATAGCCATGTCTGTCGACATCGCTTGTCCGAGTCGACATCGAGGACATCTCCCGTGCTGTGTCCTATACAGCCCGAGAGTTTCAGCGTCGGGCCTGAGTGGGTAAGTGACCTCTGCTGGATTGCCCCGAGAGACTTGCTGATTTCGAGGCCAGGATCCGAGTCATGACGGGCCCACAAAGACGTCTCTCATAGAGAAACTGGCAGGGGCCATTCGAATAGTAAGCAGGTCATAGTCACGATCACGCCTTCGCTTATTGGCATTTCAGAGGACAGAAACCTTCGATGACATGCCTGTGAACGCGACCGACTCTGGCTTTGACGTGTTTTACGAATTTGAAGCATACCTGAAAAAGGCCTTTCCTTTATTGTGAGTATCCGCTCATGCCTGTGAATGCTGTATGCTAATATGCCGAAAGCCACAAGACTCTGCAATTCGAACGCGTTAATGAACACGGTCTGCTCTTCACTTGGCAGGGAACACGGCCGGATCTCAAACCAATGGTGCGATAGCTCGAACGAGGGAGTCACTGTCGCTGATACCTACTCTAGCTGCTCATGGCTCATCAAGATGGTAGATGTTGTGTTTGCTATGACATCCACAGCGGCTGACCAGGTTGCTAGTTGTCCCAGTGAACCCTTCGACGCTTCATCTCTGGAAGCACCCGCCCTTTGACGCTCATATGGACGAGGATGGCTGGATCTGGGGCAGAGGGACCACCGATATGAAGGCAACTGTGAGTCACAGCTAGCAAGACTCTGGTGCAAAGGGCTGATGGGGCGCAGCTCATAGCTCTGTGGGCATCTGCTGAACGATTGATCGAAGAAGGCTTTGAACCTGAGCGGTACGTCTGCCATCTTGGCTTGAGGTACGACTGACTGACATACTATGTTTCTAGAACGATCATCTTCTCGCATGTGAGTACATCATACCTCGTCAACTTAGGGTCCTTGCTAACGCAGGCACAGGGGTTTGACGAAGAGATCCAAGGTCCAAGAGGAGCCAAAGAGCTCGCCAAGGTCATCCTGAAACGATATGGCCAGGAAGGGATCTCTATCATAGTCGACGAAGGCTTCAACGGCGTCGACACCGAGTACGGTACCACATTCGCCCGAGTCGGCACTGCCGAGAAAGGCTGTCTGACTGTCACCATCGCCATCTCCACTCCCGGTGGCCACAGCTCGAGACCGCCCAGTCATACCGGCGTGGGCATCATGAGCCGACTCATCGTTGAGATGGAGGACAATCCCAACCAGCCGCGGTTCCTTGAGGGAAACCCACTCTTGTCGTATCTCGAGTGCGCGGCCGAGTATGGGGACATGGACGAGAGTTTGAGGGCGCAGATTAGAGAGAAGGAGTGCTGGCCTGCGCTGGCTGATGAGTTTGGGCAGGATCGCATACTGCAGACTTTCCTCAAAACCACTCAGGCTGTAGATATCTTCAATGGCGGTATCAAGTATAACGCTCTACCAGAGGTGAGTCAAACATAGCGACGGTACTCGACTGACTTGTATGCGTAGTCTGTAACTTCTATCACCAACTACCGAATAGACTTTTTCGAGACCACCCAGGATACGCTCGACCGCCTTGACAAGATCCTTCGCCCCTTGGCGGCCGAGTACAATATGAGTTTTGCCTCTTTCGGCCAGACGCCGACGACAGATGAGAACTTGATCCAGCTTGATACCATGGGGATCAGGCTGGAACCTGCTCCTATCACTCCTCCCACTGGCCATGCCTGGGACTTGATGGGCGGCACTATCAAGCACATCTTTCCCGGGGCTGTTGTGGTGCCTTCGGGTATGACTGCTTTCACTGACACACAATGTAAGTCCGCGTACTGAAATTCTCACGAGTGCTAAACGTTTGATGATCCTAGACTTCTGGGATGTGTCCACCCATATCTACCGCTTCGCCCCGGCATCGCTAGAGCTCATCAAGAACTACCACACAGTCAATGAGCGTATACATGTGGATGCCTACATGTCGACTATGCAGTTCTTTTATAAGCTTATGAGGAATTCTGTTGGCTGGCAGAGCCCGTAGATCTATGTATTCCATGTCCCCAGGCCGTTTCGCGGCTCCTGCTCTGCAGTGGCTACATGTATGTTCTTCTCTGCATTCAGGTGTAGCTTCCTGAAGAACTGATTTGCTCATTTGCAGTGCAAAGGCGGAGTAAAAGAGCATCATCAACCAACTCACAGCTGGCACCCCGCTGGGACGGAACCAAATACAGCCGCTTGACCCGCGCCGACCACAAGCCGACCATCATCATCGCTTTCACTTTCGCTCCTTGTCACCTTGTCCATCTTGAAATCTCCCACAGCCTCACCCAGACAACCCCTCAACCATGTCAGCAGGAGCCAAACAATACAAAGCGATCGGTGTATGTCCCCATGCTCTGTAGCGAACAGGACAAGTGCTGATGGCGCCTTTGTCTTTTCGTTTAACAGGATGATATCTGGAAGAGGACCGACAAAGTAGTCAGTGCTACCCCATGGAAGGAAAAGGAGGGGAGCTGATGCAGAATAAAATGTAGAACGCAGAGCTCTTCACTCTCACGTACGGGGCGCTGGTCGTCCAGCTCATCAAGGTACGCGCGTCTTCTTGCTGGACCCCGGGCTTGCATCTCAAGCATTATAACCCGTCGAGACCAGGGAATGACGGCCATAAACGCAAATCTTCATGATATGAATACTGACAGCCAGCGGATATAGGACTACGAAGATTACGAGGAAGTGAACAAGCAGCTGGACAAGATGTACGTCTCCATCTGTTGATCTGCCGAGACCACCACTGACCCCCGAATGATAGGGGCTACAACATCGGCACTCGTCTGATAGAAGACTTTTTGGCCCGGACTGGTCTTCAGAAATGCCAATCGTTCGCCGAGACCGCCGAAGTCATCTCCAAGGTCCATCGTTCTTCTCCCACGCCAATTTATCCACTGACACGATTCTCAGGTCGCTTTCAAATCCTTTCTAAATATCACCCCCTCCATCTCCCTCCCCCAACCATCATCCTCTTCTGCCCCACCTTCCGCCTCCGCCCCCACCAGCGCCTCTCAGTCGGGCCCGCAAGAGATCATTTTCACATTTGATGAGAACCCCCTGAGCGAGTTTACGGAGCTGCCGGGAGATGCCAAGGAGGGAGGACTGTGGTTTTCGAATGTGCTTTGTGGGGTCGTGAGAGGTGCTTTGGAGATGGTGAGGATTGTTACGCTTGTGTCCTGCAAGAAAGTCTCATTGCAATAGCTAATCTCGATGTAGATCCAAATGCAAGTGGAGACTCGGTTCATATCAGATGTCTTGAGAGGAGACGACGCGACCGAGATGTATGTCCGGCTCGTAAAGATTCTGGAAGAGGAGCAGCCGGAGAATGACGAGTAGGCGAGCTTGTACTTCAAGTAGATGCAAGTGTATTGTATACCCATCCCGACGCACGATCCTTTCACCTGCCCTCATGATAGGTGAATGCATACAACACTAGATATAGGACGGCTGCTCAGCAGCGCGTGTCTCATGCTGGCTACTATACACAAAAACTTTTATGCTACAAAGATGATCATCCTACCTATTCCGTCCTCAAGCCCGCCGGCCGCCCATAAACCATATTCTCCCTCCCCCCATTATTTCCCCTCAAAACCCCACCCGCCAAAGGTGTCGGCGTCTCCCCATAGCTCGCCAAACTCTCTCCGCCCGTAATGGTCGGCGCCGTCAAAGTCGACCCCGTCGCAGTCGACTGTCCCGCCAAACTCGTCATCCCCGTCTGAGCAGACATCATACTTCCAGTGATATGATACGAATACGCCGACGCAGAATCTGTCGTCGCCGTCCGTTCACGCCCAGAGACGGTGCGCGACGAAGCAGCATGCGGTCCTTGGCCGGGGACAGTCTGCGAAGGGGTGATATCTTCGTCGTCGTCGTCTTCGACCGGGTACCCGTACCCATGCGCGTACCCGCTACCCTGCCTCGACATGGTGCCAGCTTTCGGCCCGCCCATATGGTTCTGCCCCCACTCGCCGATCCCGCCCGGACCAAGTTGGCCCATATAGCTCGACGCTCGCCAGCCTCGTCTCCTGTGTCGCCCACTGATGCCGCCCCCGGGCAAAGATGGTTTGCGCTGCAAGTTGAGCGAGTTACGGGCGGAGGGGTTGGAGTATACGCTGGGCTTGGTAGTGCCAGCGCTATTAGGCGTCGACTCGCTCCCGCCACCGGCAAGAGCAGCAGCAGCAGCTTCAGCTTCCATCTCCATCCGTCGATTCTGCCATCGCACCGCTTGGCCCAAACCTTCCACATTGGACCGGACTTCTTCATCCCGATCTCTATCTTGGGCGTTGGGGATGGAGGTGGGTGGGAAGAAGGATGTGTACTTGGCCTGGGTGGAGAGGACGAGGGACATTTGGAGAAGGCGGGAGAGTTCTTGGGTTGACGGGGGGTTGACGGCTCGTAAGTGGCTTCCTGGAGAAGGCATAGGCGAAGAGCGGACGGATGGGTGGTTGAAGGGCGAGGGAGATGGAGGTGGAGGAGGGTAGACGAGGGGTATCAGGCGCGGGAGAAGCGGCAGGAGGATGTGGAGAAGGAAGCCTGATAGTAAGAGATGCCGGACCGGGATCGCTGGTAGTGAAGATGCGATTCTCACGGTCGGGGCGGATGTTGAGGATGTATTGTTCGTAGGCACACTCTGAAGCTGGGTGAAGGGCAAGAATACACCTTCCACATACTGCATCGCGATCAGCTTTCGATTCTGCAAGCGATACATGATACTCACTGGTAATACCTGGGTCCAAAAAAAGCTCCATACTTCAGCAGCACGACTGACCATTTTGCCCTCTTCCAGCGTCTCAAACTTGGCCCGAAGTGTCAACATGCCAGAGGCGATAAACTCGCGCAGGTCGGAGGAGAGCAGGGCGACGATGCGGGCTGGAGGCGACCGTTGAGATGTTGTAACGATATGGGAGCGACATAGAGAGCTGAGATCGTCAGCAGACGCCCCACGCACCAGAATGGTACTCACTTGAGATCCTCGATAGGGGTCTTCATCGCACTACCAGCAAACAAGGGCAACACATGCACCGTCAACAAACTCCAAGGCCCATTTGGATCTGTATGCGCCATCGCCAGACTTTCAGCCTTTCCGCCGCCTCCCATCCCTAGCACTCCCAGATCATGTCCATGCGCTCCTGTCCCACTCAACAAGCTCGTCGTGGTCGGGTACTGAGCATGATCTGACAGCGGTGTGCCGTCAGGAAAGACCACCATCCCTGAAGAGGCCTGGTTGGAAGCGAGGTGGGAGGTGGAGGCATTGGAGTGGGATGGGCGGGGGGAGGCATGGATGTGGTTTATTGACGGGGCTGGGCGCATTGAATGGGAAGTATTTGATGGTGTCGGGGAGTGTGGTAGGGGAGGCAGGGGCGGCAGATGTGAAAGCGTCGAGGATACCTGCAGGCTATGAGCTCTAGTCTCGCCCACTATACATCCCACTCACAAGCTTGTTGTCATACGCTCCAGCATTACTCGCATACCCCCCAGCTTTGCCTCTATAAGGGCTTGCTTGTACACCTTGCGACGAGGCAGGCATCCGCTTATCCCTCGGCGGTAGCGGGGGGGGCATATCAGTGCCTACCCCTGAGGACCCCTTGCCTGAGCTGGCATACGAAGCATAGGAGACATTCGACTGGGTGGGAGAAGGCGGCAGAGGCTGGCGGCGGGGCGAGTAGAGGGCGTGATGTGACGAGCCGGGCAGCTGGGGGTAGGAAAAGTTTGTAGGCGTGATGGGGGGCCCGTTGGAGCTCTGGCGTTGCGGGGAGGGCGGGCGAATGGAGAGGTTGGAGGGCTTCCGGAGGGGGTTCGGGCGGGACATGGCGGTGTCGGCGGTGTCGGCGGTGGTGTTGGGAAGGGGATGGACGCGTTCGAGTGATGTTGGCGGGCCGCGGTGTGCCTGGCTGCCACTCGGGAACGTTGAACGACCGGGGGTATCTTGAAGGAGGACGTGGTGTTTAGTCTTCCGGACTCGGCAGCCATGCGTCGCCAATCAGGATCTCCTCCTGCGTTTACCACGCTCTCAGCTGGGCTCTGAGGTACCAACCTGTGAGTCTTATACCCTCGCTTGATATTGGACCGTGGCCATATGACCATTAACCAGGTCTACTACTGGTCGTCATCCGCCAGCGCATGCTGATAGTGACCCGACCATAGATACATTCTCTTTAGACCCCATCATCCCGGTCATATGTAGCATAGTGTACAGCCTGCTCTTAACACGTTCCATTACATTTTGCTAGGCGGTCACCTCGACTGGCGTCGCATACTTACGCTTTCAATCTTGCAATGCATCTTAAGCATCGTTGCCTCCGGTTCTCTCCTATATATGCATACCCAGGTCATGTACCTACCCTTGCGGGCTCTCTCAGCGGTCAGATCAGCAGGCGCTCATGTCCGGTTACTCTCAAGCCGCGGTTCGGAACACACTGTGGATGCAGACATTGCCTTCCCACCGCAAAGGTATCTACATCTATGCATCGACTTTCTCCTGACGCCCGCCATGGTACCCACCGATGATCCCCCACCACCCTACGCCCTAGAAGACATCGACGAGGACGACCAGTCGAGACTGCTCCTGAGCGAAGAGCGAAGGGATCTGGACGATGCTTCGAGGGACTTGCCTGATGGGTGGGCGAGGTGCTATGATGCGAGGTAAGCCGTCAATTCTTCTCGTTGTGCTGGGGCCGACATTGGAATGTCGCCGGAAACACCACTATTATGTGGACGAGAGCACTTTGCGTACTATCTGGTACCACCCTTTCGACGATGCCCAATACCTCAGTACACTCCCCATCACTCACCCCGCGCACCCAGAGTCGAAGCAAGCACAGGGCATCAAGAAGAAGATTGAAGATGCGAGACTGAGGAGGCAGAAGGGGCTGGATGTCAAGGTTGCTCCGAAAGATGAGACGAAGAGCAGGGCGGGAGAGGTCACTTTGAGCACATGAGAAGAAGCCTATTGGGGAGGAACTCGCAGCCATTACGAGTAATGGCGAGTCGAGCAAAGGAGGCTGGTTTTCGCGCAGGAGAGACTCTTATGCGAAATCAAAAGAAGACAAGCAGCGGGCCAAGGCAGAAAAGGAAGAGGGTTTCAAGAAACAAAGGCAGACGTGGCTCGACGATTATGCCAAGGAGAAGATGGCAAAGTCTTTGGCAGCGAGACCTACTGATAGTAAGCAGGATTCCGCCATGCCTTGCCCTGCGCTAACAAACATTTACGACAGACCAATACCCAGCCCCAGACTTTCCAATCACCCGAATCGGATCTTTCAGCAACACGCCATACGCCTATGGAAAGTCTTTCCACTCAAGCTGGGATGTATACATGCTGATGGTATCGTATAGGGTATTGCGGAGGCTACGGCGCACGCGGCTATGGAGGACTTCGAGACCCAGCGATGTTTGGAGGAGGCATGGGTCGGATCGGGGCTGGGTCTTCGGGGGCATATGGTGCAGGCGGTGGTGAGTATAATGATGTACCGGTGTACTCATACCATAAGGAGGGACGCTGATCGCTTGTCAAGCGTAGCTGGCTGTGGTGGTGCTGGTTGATGGACCACCGTACTCTCGAGGGTCCACTAGGTTCTATTGCACGCAAGCGTATATGAGTCACAAACAATTGATGTATATATAATATAGGGAGACTTCTGTTGGTAGTTGTACGTACTGTAAAATGTAACATTCTGGTGATCAAGGTGTGGACGTTGATTAACTGCGGATGATAGAGGTGATAAGATATGGCCATTAGAAGCGTGATTAGCGGGAACAAAGTGGACACTAGCTGTGACGTCAGACATCCCGCTCCGGATAAGCATGGTTGAGAATGGAGGTGGCTCCTGCATCTGCATCTTATCTTGTGATTAAATCGCCATTTACCATGCCCGACGACGCACCACCCCCATACGCTGCTGCAGGCTCAGCCCAGCCCGCGACCACCCAGAACGGCAACCTTGCTGCCCCCGCCGGCCCCACCCGAAGTCCTTCCGCCATTTCCTCCACCGCCTCTGACGAGACTACCGACGACGACAGCGACTTGCTGGCCACGGAAGAGAGGAGGGACATGGATGATGCTGCCAGAGATCTACCAGATGGTTGGGTTAGGTGTTTCGATCCCAAGTGAGTTTCTTCTCTTGGACGGCCAATTGCGGCAAGGAAGAAGATTGATTGGAGCTGATGATTGTTCATAGGCAGAACCACCATTTCTATGTGGACGAAAAGACTAAGAGAAGTATCTGGGTTCACCCTTACGACGACCCCGAGTTCCTGCGAACTCTTCCACCCACTCACCCTGCGCACCCCGACTCGAAGCAAGCCAAGGCTGTGAGACAGAGGTCTGAAGACGAGGGACTCGCCAAATCAAAGAGGAAGGAAACCAAGAACACTAAGGGTACGGGCGCTGCTGGTCTAGCCTCAGGTTCAACCCAAGGAGGCAGTGCTGGAGACTCGTCGAAGGGTGATGGTAACAGGAACTGGTTCCAGAAGAGAAAGGACGCCGTCATCGGGACGAAAGAAGAGCGCGTCAAGGCCAAGGAAGAGAAGAGGCGTGCAAAGGCGGAGAGGGAGAGGCTTATTGCCCAGAGGGATGCAGAGTATAGGAAGAAGAGGCAGGAGCTGGTGGAAGCCTACGCCAAACAGAATTCGACGGGTTCGGCAGCTGTGGGCGGATTGGGCAGTAGCTCATTGTACGGCAAGTCTATCTTTTTTTGCTTCTTGTGTCGAGCTGACAAAATTCGTAGGCGGGTACGCAGCTCCCATGACTCCCATTACTCGAAGCGGCTACTACAGCAGCAGCCCTTATGGCTACGGTAAGCTTCCTGTGCTCGTTCCGTGCTTCCCCCTGACTTTATCCAGGCTATGGTGGCGGCTACGGTCGACGTGGCTATGGCGGCCTCGGAGGAGGGGGTCTGGGAATGCCATTGATGATGGGCGGAGGAATGGGTCTACTGGGAGCGGGTCTGTTGTCGGGCGGTATGGGAGGAGGGTTCGGCGGCGGGTTTGGTGGATGCGGGGGTGGTGGAGGATGCGGAGGTGGAGGTGGAGGAGGTGAGTTGACAGATTAGCTATTTATTGGTGCATACTGACGTTGAAATAGGTGGATGTGGCGGTGGCGGTGGCTGTTGAACTTTGTTGTCCTGACTTGTATCTTTGGATGTTGGCTGATAAATATCGGACCGCGAGAGAGAAGTGTAACAAACAAGATATTCATACAAGTATAGTACTCGTATGTACATCTGCATGTAACCTGAATGCAATCGGCTTGGCCAGGAAAGCACCGTGTCCATGTATAAGCGTCCAAGTCCACAGCTACACGAGAAAGACGACGGAACCAAATCACAACGCCGGCTTGACCTCTTCTTGCGCTCATTTCCTCTTTCCATATCTTTTCGAAAACACACGCCCAATATGTCCAGCATCGACGCAAAATCCCTCAAAGTAGCAGAGCTTAAGGAAGAGCTTTCCAAGAGGGGCCTCGACACCAAAGGTCTTAAGAAGGACGTGCGTCGCAATCAGACGGTGTATCGCGTCCTCAGGCTGACATTCCATCTACAGCTCGTCGAAACACTACAGAACGCTATAGAAGAAGAACTGGACCCCAAGCCCTCAACACCTCCCATCGAAGAACCCACAGACGAGAACGTCAAGGAACCTACTGAGGATCCCAGAAAGCAGGCTGAAGCGACTTCTCGTCCAGTGACTCCTCCTGCCCCGGAGGTCCAAGATGCTAGGCCCTCAACACCTCCTATCGAGCACGTACCAGTGGCGGCTGAGGGTGTAGGAAGTGTGATGGTGGATGGCTACCCCGAATCTGTGCAAGAACCCGCAACGGCGCAGGACGGTGCAGAACCTGCTCGCGTCCCTACGCCTCCCCTCGACACTGAAGACGAGCAGCAGGTACTGAATACCGAGCCCAAGATTTTCGATTCAGAAGTGGCGGAGGTGGTTGCCAGGGAGGAGGAAAAGGAGCGGGAAGCTGCTGCTGCTGCTTTGACACCGGACTTGCCTCCAAAGAGCTTGTCGCCTTTACCGCCCTCGGAGGAAAAGGCGCTGGAAAGGGAGAGAGAGTCAAAGGCGGAGCATGGCATGGAAGTGGAAGAGGGTAAGCAGGAGAATAAAGAAGAGGGGGATGAGATGCAAATCGACCGACCGCTCTCTCCGGCTGCACCACCCACGAAACGATCATTGTCCCCTTCTTCCCCACCCCGACCTATCAAGAAATCCCGCGCTTCACCCTCTCCTCCCCCTGCTCCCCAAGCCACTTCTTCAGCATCCACTACCGCCCCTCTAGCCCCGACTGCTTCTGGTGAACACCCACCCACCACAGTCTTGTACATTACAAATCTCAAACGCCCCATCCCTTTCCCTGGTCTTCACGAGCTCCTCTACCACGACTCTCCTCCTTCATCACACCCCTCGTCTCTCCCTCCTCCGAGAAAGCCTTTCGCTGATGAAGACACGCCTGGCATCTGGGTTTCCGGTGTCAAAGATCACGCCTATGCCGTCTTTTCTTCATCCGAAGCAGCAGCCGCTACTGCTTCCAGGATCAACGGCATCAAGTGGCCCGAAGAGACCGGCGGCAATCTCTCTGTCGAATACATCCCCGAAGACAGGCTTCTTCAGCTGGTCGAGCGAGAGGAGAAGGCATGGACCAATGGCAGGCAAAAGCTCGTGTTGAAGGTCGTCCGAGATGGAGAAGGATTCGACTATGTCTTTGAGGGTCAAGGAAAGCTGGGGAGGGTACCGTCGCGCGGCCCTCCTGTGCCCTCTGGTCCTCAGGCCCGTGGTCCCTTAGGGTTCCCGACCGGACCGAGGAACGCCTTTGGCGCGAATGCGTCGCCTCTTGCCCCAGGACAGAGGGGCCCCCCTCGTGCTGTACCCTTGACAGGTGTAAATGCCATCGGCGTCAATGGCCCTGGGGCCGCAGGTGGTATACTGGCTGGTCCCGGGCGAGGAGGTTTCGGTGCAAGAGGAAGAGGTGGTTTCTCAGTGCAAGGTGGCCGGCCGTGGGGACCGGGGGCGAATGGTCCTGGGCCTCATGGTGGACCTGGTTATGGCCCGAGGAGGGATGGTGGCGCGCCGGGATTACAGCAGGGCGAGAGGATGAGGCCGACAAGGACGCAGCCGAGATTGTTCTGGAAAAAGGGACCTGGGGCTGTTGATGGGCCATGAGGGGTCAGGGGTGTAAGTTGTTTGTCTTGATCACTTTGGCAATTACCAAAAGCCACAAATGTCACAAATGTAAAGACGATGCGGTCATTGAACCGTGAAACATCTATGCATCTTGCAAATGTTGTCATCTAAACGTCTATCAGGTTCATTGATCATCAGCCAGCAAGTGCACCACAACCTCCCCATCTCTACCCTTCTTCCCCTTCATCAGCCTCTCGCCTTCCCCGTTACCCTTTTCCTCATGCTCGTACTGACCCCCATCAGGTTTCTGACCTTGGATTTCAGGAAGAGAGGCGAGAGTCGACGGAGAGGCGAGGAAAGCAGCAGACAGGGTGTGGATCGATGAGAGCATGGATCGCGCATGAGCGGGCGTCGGAGAAAGAAGAGGAAAGTCTGAAAAGCTTTGATCTGATGACTTGATCAGGCTGGAGCTCTGGAAATGCGGCGAAACGACTCACGTCCGATACCCAAAAGCGTCACCAGCCCCGCCCCATTCTTCTCACCATTCTTCCAGCCTTTTGCAATATCCACCAATCTTGAGAAATGTTCTTCCCACTCAGTAAAGCCGGGAGAGTTTACCACAAACAGCGGGGGAAGGATCTTGTGCTCGGCAGTGGGGGATGAAGGCGCTGAGAGGATGTCGGATGGGAAAGGGAGAGGGTCGAGCCATGGGTCAAGAACAAGGGCTTGAGTGGTCGGGAGAGGTGTGTAGGGGTGGGGGACTGAGGTCTGGAGAAGATGAAGCTGGAGGGTGTATTAGCATTTGTAAGCATGATAATGATCACTTACCATAGTACCACCTCCGAAGGAGTGTCCAACCAGTCTCAAATCATCACCATCAACTCGCCCTTTCAGGCCGTTGATCCAGGCTTGCCGCTCTTCCTGCTTGTCGTTTCCCTCCAGCTTCTCAATGACGACCGTCTTTTCCAGCTCGGGATTTGGAGTGACAGAAGTGAGATTGATGAAAGACTTGTACACTTCGTATACCTCGCGAGACCGCATCTCGAGTTGCAAAGTCCTGGCGTGGTTGACAGGCTGTTCCTCGCCCTCTTCCCATCTATGAACGTGGTCAGTGAATTCCAACTGCAAGGCATGGGTCAGACAGTGGACTTACTGGATATCATCAACCCCCGTATAGTACAAGACTTTTGGCTCGCCACCTTCCTTATCTGGCGGCAACATCACAGCAGGCCCCGATCCATCTCGATGTTCCACAGCAAGAACAACGTATCCCTCGGAAGCCAGAGCAGCGCAGTACTGGCTATACGTATGCCTCGTACCCGCAAGCCCATGCGAGAAGATGATCAGAGGATACCCCGCGCTCGGACGTTGTGCAGGCGAGATAGGGGCAAGAGGATAGACGGGCATGAGGAGGCGAGACGCAAAGTACCCAAGTGGTCTCACTGTGTTCGCATGTCAGTATATGTAAGATACATGAGGCAAACATACGTACCGAACCAGCTCACCGCCCCTTTGCCACCAGCAAACTTGCCGTAACCCTTGATGATCTCGCTCATCGGCTCTGGTACCCACCGAAATCCCTTCTTGCGCTCCTGGTGTTTTCCCTTGGCATCTTTATAGTCTTTGTTGCAAGGATAGAAGACAGCATATCCGACGTGGGAGAGGGAGAAGGCTGGTTTGGAAGTAGATTTGAGGAGAGGAAAGGGGTGGGCGAAGGGGGCGATGGGTGGGCAAGTGATGTGGGCGTAGCCGACTGGATGAGGGCCTGGCGGGGATGGGAGAGAGAGAAAGAAGGATAGTATGGGGGGAATCATGGCCGGAGATGAAAGATGGGCACAAAGAAGGACAATGGAACGAGATTCACTGAAATGCATCGTGGTCAACTGCGGTGGAGGCCGGGTGGAGGTTACTTGGACAGAAGTCGGACGCACCGAGGTTCACTATGCCATGCATCCATGCAGTGTCCACGCTGAGTATGGATGAGATCCTTGGGAGGTGATATGGGCGTTGCATTGGGGGTAACTCTCCTTGGAGTACCCTGTACAAGGCGCAGTCCAGCCGATGACGGTACCGTGCTGTCCACCAGATACCGTTCGAAGGCGGCAAACGACCAACACATACCTGCCCAGCCATCCACTCATTCTATGATCTAGAGTATGCCACGGACTATAAACAATACAATACAAAATAAGTACAGAGATCCATCCTTCTCGGCCCATCACGCCGTCGGCTCGCTTTTGATCTTCTTCCTTGTCCCTGCACCCCTCTGCTCTTCTGCGGCCACCCTACTTTTTGCTGTTGCTAATTCCTTCTCCAGCACCTCATACTTGTCTCTCTGAATATGACTCTCAGCTCCAGCACATGTCATATCAATCCAACATACCATCTGTCTGACATTTTTGTCCGCCTCTCCTAGATACCGCGTCATATCTTGATTTTCCTTCTCTGCTTTCGCCACCGCCGCTTTTGAACGGGCCAGCTCATCTTCCAGGACTGACACCCTCTCTCCAAGAGTCTCTGTGTCCTGGTTATACTTTTCCTGCAGTGACTCGTAAGCCCGCCGCCAGGCGGTATGGTCCGTGAGCGCCTTGGCAAGCTGAGTTTTCGTAGCCTGGGAAGATGCTTCAGATGCTCGATGAGATTCGAGGAGGCCGCGGATGTGGTGTTCAAAATCATCTGGAGGTTGCTGGGCAGCTGCCTGACCTGGAGCCGCTGGCTGGGCTACTTGGGGATTGGGCTGAGCCTGTGGCTGTGGGTGTGCTGGTTGTTTCCCTTTCGACATGCTCGCTTGCCTTGGCCCTCAGCAACTCGACAGAGACGAGCTGATTGTTGGCTGATGTTGAACGAGTCCCATGAAGACCGGACACGGACGCGTTGAAAGTGCCACACTGTCGAAATAATCCCGCTCTCCACGTCCTCGCTCCTCCACCACTCACCATCATTCATCGACCTGTCTTCTTCTCCAAGCGTCAGGAATGGCATCCAAATCCCTCATCACCTTCATCCTCGCCCTCTTTGTGGCCTTGTGCTTCATCCTCGCCCCGGGGGCGGACGCTGCCAAGGGCCCTGTCATCACCAACAAGGTGCGTGCGGTGTCTCGTATAGTCGCCGACCGGAATCCGCTACAACCGAAAGGAAAAGAACGAGAGCTGATAGACATGTTTGAACAGGTGTACTTTGATATCGAGCATGGGGGCAAGCCTCTCGGACGAGTCGTCATGGGTCTTTACGGCAAGTACGTATCGAACTCGACGCTCCACACCTTTCTCATCACAATGAGCTGACGCGATGGTAGGACCGTCCCCAAGACTGTCGAAAACTTCCGTGCCCTTGCTGTTGGCAAGAACGCTGAAGGCGAGGACCTCGGTTATGGCTACGAGGGTTCCAAATTCCACCGAATCATCAAGAACTTCATGTGAGCCTCCTCCCTGGCATCCTCGGCATATGTTGGTATCAGGACAGAAGCTCATAGGTGTGTAGGATCCAGGGTGGTGACTTTACCAAGGGCGACGGTACTGGCGGCAAGTCTATCTACGGTAACAAGGTCAGTCATACTGGGTGGTAAGCGTTGATTATGACTGACAAGGTTGGTGCAGTTTGCCGATGAGAACTTCAAGCTCAAGCACACTGGTCCCGGTACTCTCTGTAAGTCATACTCTTCGTTTATGTGGAGCTGTGCTGACTTGCGCAACAGCCATGGCCAACGCCGGTAGGGACACCAACGGCAGTCAGTTCTTCATCTGCACCATCAAGACCTCTTGGCTCGATGGCAAGCACGTACGTCTTTAGCTTCATTGTGATCCCTGTCGATACTTACAACGTTTACCAGGTCGTCTTTGGCCACGTTATCGAGGGTTTGGACGTCGTGATGGCTATGGAGGCTGTCAAGACCGGCCGAGGCGACAAGCCCGTTGAGGAGGTCAGGATTGCTGCTTCCGGAGAGGTACGTCACCCTCACGCAAGGAGTAATGCACCAGCTGACTTTCGTGTAGCTTCCCATCGAACACGAGACCGATGAGTCTGGCAACCAGGTACCTTTCCGTCTCGAGCTCTAAACACGCTCTTGAGTCCAATTCAAAAAAAGAGAATGTATTCTGAAGCTATGCATTTCTCTTCCCTCTTCATCTTACAGGCAGACCCGGATCAAGCAACCGGAACCGACATCATCGACGATCCTCAAGAAGGGGGCGATCCCCTGCCGGTGGACGAGTTTGACCTCGGCGCGGAGGATGCAGAGGACAACGAAGAGTACGCCACTATCGCTTCGCCTGGCAAGTACTTTATCCTTTTGGTACTCTTTGTGGTGGCTCCTGTGGGGGCTGGGGTGTACTTCTACGGAGGAGGGAAGGAGAGGGTCAAGCAGTGGAGGGGGCAGGGGTACGAGAAGGTGGAGGAGGAGCGGGTGTAACTGCAATCGCCCTCCCTTTGGTATGCTATGTATATGGTCCTGTAGATTTCCTCTTTCTATTGTGTTCTTCTCTCGTTTGTGTACATTACGCGTATATTCTCAACAGCACACGTCCAGCATACATACTCTTGTACAACCATACTTGTCCTCCAGCCAACGGAATCAAACCATTTACCGGGAACGCGATAAGCTTGATCCTGAAATTCATTAGCGATATTCTAGATTTATTATCTTGGTCACCGCTGTGTGCAGTTCAAATTCACGGCCAGGTCAAGGCCAGCTCAGTGTCATGCACATGCTGCTGAGCTGTTGAAGCAAGTGTCTGTGCCACAGGGCTGTTTTCCGCGCACCAGCCATGCGTTACATGATGCGCCCTGCCATCTCGTAATTCCCCGCATGCAGCTGAATGAACGTGCCGCACGGTGCCGCAGCTGGATCGTGCCGAGGAGGGCATTGCTCGGCACGGCAGACGGCAGAAAGCGTGCCTGATCATTTCTTAATCAGCTGCAAATGTTTTATGCTGAGCACATCGTCCACACTTCACATCTGTCTCTTGCTCAGCTCACTTTTTCACCCCAGGATTCGTCAGCAGCGACAGCCAACATCGCCCATCCATTATAGCATATCCCGACTCACGGCAGAGTCGCCAGCCATCACTGGATCGCCTTCGCACATCTCCGAACCTAACTCCTCTTCGGTCGCCGCATTCAAATTTAGACGGACGGGCGCACATCGACCCTGCTGAATTAATAATCAAAAGTCTTCGAGTCGCTTTCTAGCCTCTCAATAATCACCCCCGCCTGCAACTGCAGAGTATTAATACTCTGAGTCGTCTCTTCATAAAAACAACAACAGAACGCCCCTCTCCTTGCAATCAAACAACATGTCGCGAGACCCCCTCGCTCTTGGTCAAGAGATCGGCTCCCCTTCCTCCCTCTCGAGCGCTCTTCCTACGCAACATACAAACCTCTCCCATAGTCAAGCTACCAACACTTCCACTCTCCAGACAGATTCCACACCAAACACTGTCCCCAACCCTATTACTTCGCGTATACCTGCCAATCTGCCCCATGATCAAGTGACCTCTGGCGACTTTGCGCCTTCTTCTCAAAACGCCAGAGCCGGCGGATCGGACCATGACGAAAGCCCCACGCCTACTTTGGCAGGGCCCAACAGCGGTCATGGCACTCATGGGTATGATCCGGTGAAGAACGATGACCAATACGGCTCGGTAGGCGGAAAGGCGGGGGCCGGGGTGGCGGGTCTTGGTGCTGCTGAAGTGGGTACCGACTATGAGAAGACGAAGGAAATAGACGAGAAGGGCGAGAACCCTGCGCCTCTCGCCCGTGACCATCGGACTGCTTCTGGTACTGCCCACGCCCAACCCGCGCCGACGACCTCGGATGCAAAAACGGTGGAGGGCTTGGGTATGGTTTCGCTTTCAAGACAATTCTCAACGCCGCCGGCTGTCAGCCCGTTTGGGGGTGTGGCTCCGTCTGGTATAGATGCAGAGAGAGGGTTAAGGGCCATGAGGAGCAGAGAAGAAGAGGAGGCGCGGGATTTGGAGAGGGAAACCAAAGGACCTGATCCTTTTGCTGTTCAATTCGAGCCGGGAGAGGATATCAATCCCAAGGTGAGTTTACTGTCGCTATGATGCCACCTTTGCTGACTCGTCTGAAGAACTGGGGCGTTGGCTATAGATGGTGGCTCACATGCCTCTCTGGTCTCCTCGTCCTCAACTCTACCTTTGCTTCCTCTTCTCCCTCTGGTATCATCAAAGACATGATGGCGTATTTTGGCTTCTCTCAAGAGGTAGCTATCCTTACCCTCTCCCTTTTCGTCGCTGGGTACTGCGTCGGCCCAATCGTTTGGGGGCCTCTTTCCGAGACTTACGGCCGCCGGCCCGTCTTCATCGCCACATTTATCGTTTACACGGGCTTTCAAGTGGGGTGTGCGTTATCCAAGAACACGGCGTCCATCTTGATTTTTAGATTTCTCGGGGGAACTTTTGCGGCTGCCCCTTTGACGAATTCGGGGGCAATGTTGGCTGATATTTGGGACGGCGATCACCGAGGAAAGGCTATGAGGTTCGTTGTGGCGATTTGAAGTATCATCTGCATGATCAGACAGCTGACGGGAATCTGGAACACAGCTGCTTTGCTCTCGCGCCATTTGCCGGTCCTTCTGTGGGACCTATCGTTTCTGGATTCATCCAAGTAACCGGGACCGTGAGTATCACCTTATCCATTCGAGTTCTTTCAGAGCGTTCAGAGCGCTGATTCTGCGTGAAGAGCTGGAGATGGATGTTCTGGATCCTTACTATCTTTGCCGGTGTCTGTCTTGCAGTCATCGTCTTCTTCGTCCCAGAGACGTACTCGCCCAAGATCCTCGCCAAGAAAGCTGCTAGGTTGAGGAAAGAAACTGGTGACGACAGGTACTACGCGCCTCGTAAGCCACTTCCAGATTCTTCTTTCACCGCCGTCGCTGATATGCTTTGCAGTGGAGAGGGCAGATGCGAGCTTCAAGGCCCGCGTGCACGATATCCTCTTCAAGCCGTTCATCATCCTCGCACTCGAGCCCATGCTTCAGGCGGTAACGATGTACATGAGTTTCGTGTACGGAGTCGTCTACCTTTTGTTCGAGGCCTTCCCCTTTGTGGTGCGTAACGATCATCTGGTAGATTCTGTGGCTAGGGCTGATACCTGGTACAGTTTGAGCAGAACCATGGGTTCAATGCCGGTGAAGAAGGTCTTGCCTTCCTCGGTTTCTTCAGCGGCGGTTGTGCTGCTGTCATCTTGTGAGACATTCGGTGCTTCTATCAATGGTATGTCAGCTGACATATAATCCCCAGCTTTGTAACAGTTATCGAACCCCGTTTTCTGCGCCACGCCAAAGCCGTAGCTCCCGAAGCTCCCCGGCCCGAGATGCGTCTCGAGCTCTGTGTCATCTCTGGCATCTCTCTCGTCATCGCGCTCTTCTGGTTCGGCTGGACTTCATACTCGTCTATTCACTGGATAAGTCCAGTACTTGCTGGGGCTTTTATCGGCGTCGGTACTTTGGGAATGTTTGTCAGTTTGTTCAACTATATCATCGATGTCTATCTTTGGTCTGCGGCTTCGGCATTGGCTGCTGCTAGTGAGTCATTCATCATAGAAGCTGAGGGTCAATACTGATGGCATTACAGCTGTCATTCGATCTCTGTTCGGTGCCGCTTTGTGAGTTTACATTCTACATCAATACACTGCTCGGCTGACACCATCATAGCCCTCTTTTCGCCACTCAGATGTACGATAAACTAGGCAGTACGTCCCTATGTTCTCGCTTCCACCCTCTCTTCCATCTGAATGTAATCTAACGGACTGCAGCTCAATGGGCCTCATCTCTACTTGGATTCCTCGCCCTCCTGATGGCCCCCATCCCCATCATCTTGATGAAGTACGGCCATCACTTGCGCGCGAAGTCCAAGTTCTCGCCCAGTCGTTAATAGACGTGCATCGTTGGCGTATAGGATATCACTTCCCGGTGAGAGGGGTGTTAGAAAAGACATTGATAGAGAAGAAACGGACTTTTTGATAAATGTCATAACGTATAATGATATCAGAAACCCCAATAGCATGTCATGTATGTGTGTTTCAGACGTTTGTCCCAGATCGTCGCACGGTCCTACACGTGTCTATGACTTTTCACGGGGCTGAGGTGTTCCACGTCACACTTGTTTACACGATCCAAATGTACTTGCATCGACACCACCGGAAGCCCGAGCATGAGTCGCGGACATGATGATGATTTCAACTCGCTACTGGCATGTGGAGACGTAGCCGGCCAGCAAAAGGCTGACTTGCAATACATCCTACTATAGAATTGGGAGCTACGGCATGCCCATAGCAAACATGCCGGACTCAATCCAAGAAAGCCCCAGTTGGAGGGCGGAGTTAACAGCAAGACATTCCCCGACGAGGAGATTCGCTCGGCATTTGTCTCATTGCCTTTTTGTTTGTAATATCTTACAAAACGCCATGCGCAATGGCGCTACCTTTGCTATGGCTTACTCATACCCCATAGGCATTAGCGTCTCGGCTCATACATCGGCAGCACCCAGAGAAGTCCCAGGGACTGTCATATATATAGGCCAGCGCTGCCCTCCAGCAATACGTCTTCATCTTCGCCACTATCCTTTCTCAGTCCAACCATGACTCTCGACACTCATACCCCAGTCTCCCCAGACACGAGGGGTCATCAGGCTACTCCACCAGACCTCTCTGTTCGATCAAGTGCAGAAGACAAGGAAAAAGGGGCGGCCGTCCCTACCAGTAATGCGAGTAAGGGTAAAGAAGAGTCCGACTCTTGGGCCGTTCAATTCGAGCCCGGCGAGAGCATCAACCCAAAAGTAAGTCAAGTCTCCATATAACAACACAGACTGACCTCGAGCTATAGAACTGGGGCGTTGGCCATCGGTGGTTTCTGACTGTGGTCGCCGGCGTTCTCGTCTTCAACTCAACTTTGGCCTCATCCGCCCCTACTGGCATCGTGGACGGCATGATAGACTACTTTGGTTTCTCCCAAGAGGTCTGCACGCTCGTACTCTCCCTCTTTGTCGCTGGCTACTGCCTCGGCCCTGTCTTGTGGGCCCCTCTTTCGGAAACCTACGGGCGACGCCCTGTGTTTATCGGTACCTTTGTGGTCTACACTGGCTTTCAGGTGGGCTGTGCTTTGTCAAAGAACATTGCTTCGATCCTTGTATTCCGATTCTTAGGTGGTGTGTTTGGTGCTTCTCCGCTCACCAATTCAGGAGCACTCTTGGCCGATATCTGGGATGGCAGGCGAAGGGGCAAGGCGATGAGGTATGTGCTGTAGCGGTTTCATATCATATGTCTTACATGTTTGGACAGCTGACGGGAACCTGGAATAGCTTTTTCTCATTTGCGCCTTTTGCGGGCCCTTCTCTGGGCGCGATTGTGGGAGGGTTCATACAGGCGTCTGGCACTGTGAGTCTGTCAAAGCCGGCGCAGTCGAATACTGACGCGTCCAGTCTTGGCGATGGGTGTATTGGGTCCTCACCATTTTCGCCGGAGTCTGTCTGGCTGTGATTGTCTTCCTGGTACCCGAGACTTACGCCCCCATCATCTTGGTCAAAAAGGCTCAGAGATTAAAGAAGGAAACTGGCGATAACAGATACTATGCCCCGTGTGAGCCTTCGGCGGTGCATGGAAAGCTTGATGTGAGGCTAAATATCAATCAGTGGAACGTGCAGAAAGTGTCAACATCAAGACCAAGGTGCACAACATACTGTTCAAGCCTTTCATCATTCTTGCACTCGAGCCCATGCTGCAAGCGGTGACACTGTATATGAGCTTTGTCTATGGTATAGTCTACCTTTTGTTCGAAGCGTTCCCGTTTGTCGTAAGCCAAATTGGCATATACTACTCGATGGGTGCTGATGAGCGTGATCAAGTTTATACGCAACCATGGTTTCAACACTGGCGAGGAAGGTCTTGCCTTCTTGGGCTTCTTCTTTGGTGGTGTATCGGCCGTCATTCTGTAAGCAGACATCACTGATACTTCTTCCACTCTTCAGCTGACCTGTGCAAGCTTCATCACAGTCATCGAACCCCGCTTCCAACGCCACGTCAAAGCCATGGCTCCGGCGCCCCCTAGACCAGAGAAGCGTCTTGAGCTCTGCGTCATCTCGGGCGTCTCGCTGGTGATCGCCCTCTTCTGGTTCGGCTGGACTTCATACTCGTCTATTCACTGGATAAGTCCAGTACTTGCTGGGTCGTTCATCGGCGTCGGTACTTTGGGCATGTTTGTGAGCCTGTTCAACTACATTATCGATGTGTATCTCTGGTCGGCTGCTTCGGCTCTGGCGGCTGTCAGTGAGTGGCGATGGTCTGAGGATAGAGCGCAAAGCTTACAGATGGATACAGCTATTGTAAGGTCCCTCTTTGGAGCTGCTTTGTGAGTCAGATCAGCATTATCTGTTCTGTATACTCACATCATACCCAGCCCTCTCTTCGCCACGCAGATGTATGAAAAGCTGGGAAGTAAGTCTTTTTAGCCGCGATTGATCGACAAGAGCCATGTCGCTGATCATTTGCGTAGCTCAATGGGCGTCCACCCTACTCGGCTTCTTGGCTTTGCTCATGGTACCGATTCCCGTTGTCCTCATGCGGTACGGCCATCTCCTGCGCGCAAAGTCCAAGTTTTCACCCAACCGCGCGGGCATAGTGGATGGAGGAGGCAAATGACGGAGGAGTGGATGTGAGATGACGGTTGCGAGATGATTAATCCCCAATTGAGAACGGGAGACATATAGCGAGCTGTTAGTGATAGTGAGATGTACATACATAACCTTGTGCCCATATTGACCTCTGGAGACAGTGATCTAGTCCTGCATCGTCTACGTAGAATCGGTCAGGCAAGATGCGTGGCTTGGGTATGAGAAGCTGAAGCTCACACTGGAAATATCAATGAAGGTCCATGAAAAGACGTTGATTGCCCGTGTAGTATATGTACAGTGATACAAACAACGACAAAGGAATGAACAACAGCATTCGGTGGCCCGACGACGGGGACGAAGTTCGCTGGTGAAATGTGATGTGGCACTGGAGTTGTGACTTGCCAAGCAGCCTACTTATGCACTACCGCAGTCTAGTGAAGACTCTTCGAAGGGATTCAAAAACAGCTAGCATCCTTGGGCAACATTGGACCCAGAGCCTCCCGAGATAGACGACAGTACATCTGCGCCACTCGCGGCTGACCGGCACACTACTTTCCAGAACTCTATCGTCAATTTCTCGTTCTCTCTATATTCTCCTTGAATTATCCTGTATCGCGCTGTACATACCCCACCTATACTTCGATATGCCCCCTCGCCGAAACGACTATCGCGCACCATCGCTCGACAGCGATGACGACGATTACGAGCCCCTACAAAGCATCCAAAACCGCCAGCGCCACCCTGCCCGCCGCATCCAGCCCCCCTCTCGAGCAAACCCCCCGACAACCGCCAGTAGACCTTCAGCCATCTCCAGCTCCCGCTCAAGCTCGCATGGGATACCCTCGGCGCCAGCACAAGCCGCGACAGGGCCTTCAAGGCCAGCAGAAGGAGGCCCCCCGCCACAGATCTCTGGAAGGGTCTCCAGACGACCAAACGTCCCTGAAGATGAACCTGTTTCTCCGAGAGATCGATATGCAGTAGCGAGAAGAAGACTGAGGAGACGGGTTGAAGACGACGAGGATGTGGTGTATACCGGGTCATCGGGAGCAGAAGGTGTGTTGTTGTGCAAATCACGGAATTTTGCTGATTGTTCTCATTCGTACCTTCTCTCTCTCTTTTCCGCCATTGCATTCCACGCCGCTTTCCTCCTCCCTTATCCAATTTCCCTCCCCTCTCCGCCTCTCGCCCCGACACTGAATCCCGATCATAGACGGCCAGGCGCGAGCAGGACCATCTAGGCCGCGTAACAGAGCCCCCAATCATCATATCCAGCGTGAGTGTGAAATGAAGGTCCACTATCTGCGACTTTGCCCGGTGTACAATTCGTGCTGTGCTGACCCCTTCCCAGGCTTGAACGCCGCTCTCGACGCCCGGCCCAGACGCGATCCCGACGCAGACCGCCGCCAGGTCCTGTTCCGACCCCCTTCCCTCTCTAACGACTCTGACCTTGAGGACGAGATCGACCTCCCTCCTGGCCGCCCCCGTATCGGCCTAGGTGGCGCTGTAATCAGACGTGGAGGTGCTCGCAGACAGTTCGTCCTCAGTCGTCCCCCTACTCCCCCTCCACAACAGCACGGTCAAGACGCTATGGCTGCACCTGGTCAACGATTTTTCTTAGGAGACAACAATGTGGAGCATTTCATGATGAACGCGATCGGCGCTGGGATGGGACTCTTCATTGGGCCTGGAGGTGTAGGTAGAGCTTTCGGAGGGGCGGGGCCTGCTAGAGCAGAGGCAGATATCGAAACAATCCTGAGAAGCGTCGAGGTGCCCAAGTACCCTCCGCCAACAGCGGGGTTCATGGCCAGCTTTGATATGGAGGAGGCGCAGTCCAAGCAGGCAATTGAAATCGATGACAATGGGGTAGTCAAGAAGAAGAAACGGAAACAACCCATCCTCGTCTGCGCCAAGTGCAAAGACCCGCTGCTCATCTCTGAAGCCTACCGCACCCCCGCCGACAGAGTTTGGGCTCTCCGCTGTGGTCACATCATCGACCAAAAGTGCCTCGACGAGATTCAGGCCCCGAGGTCCATTATGGAGATGGCGAGCGTGGACAAGCATCCGGACGTGTTGGATGAGCAGCCGGCGAAGAGGAGGAAGGGCCTGCGCAAGGCGAAGGAGCAGGAGAAGCCGGCGGACGAGTATACGTGGAAGTGTCCGGTGGAGGGCTGTGGGAAGCGGCACATGAGCCAGGATATAGGCGGGTCATGGGTGATGGTTGAGGGAGAAGGGGCGTTGCAGGTGTACGCTTGATCGCTACTGGAAGATGCCAGGAAGAAGACGAAGCATGTTGTATCTACTAGGAGTGGGGGTGCATGGATAGCGTATACAACCAAGCTCATCCCGCCCGCAGACCGCCACAGTTGAAAGAGGAGAGTGGCGCTGCACCAAAGGACCCCCGCGATCAATGGGGAGGTGACGCGTGGGGGTCTGTGCGTGGTTGACTCAACCCCTCCCATTTCTATCTCCATCTCTCTTTTGCCTTTCCATCTTCTATCCCGTCTACACTTACCGCCATGAGCAAGCAAGAGGCTACTCTCGAGGCGTAAGTCGAGTACTGGCATATGTGAGAATGGCGTTAACGCCGATGCCAGCTTTCCTCTTCGGGACTACAACTTTGTGTGAGCGGCATCCTCCTCTTCCCCCTGAGATCCCTCAACGGAAGCTACCCCTCACTCCTGCTGCAATGGCCTGCCTGCGTTGGCATACCAGCCAGCCACAAGCCTGGCCTGCAGACCACTAGCGCCCACCGTCTTATTAGCTCATCTGATATTGCCTATAGTGAGCGCGAAAGTCAACCTGAGGAAGACCACTCTATTACTGCCAGGCTCAAGCGACTTGAAGCACACTATGAAGAGTCGGGCGCGCGAAGAACCGTGGAGGCTGTGATGGTGGTCACCGTGAGCCTTGCGCGTCGCTCATCGAACGTCAATCGCTGAAATGCCATAGGTCCGAGGCTTCCCTCACGTTCTCGTTTTGCAAGTCGCCAACGCCTTCTACAAGCTGTAAGTTCAATTCCGCGATTTCAAAGTACGCACTCTGACTGATAGCAACCAGTCCCGGCGGCTATCTCGACCCATCCGAATCCGACTCTGTCGGCCTCATCACCCGCCTCAACGAACAACTCGGTGTCCCGATTGGTACTGTCGCACCTCACAAGGGGAATGACTTGCCGCAGAACATCTGGTTGGCGCCTGAAGGTGGCAGAGACTGGGAGGTGAGGGATTGCTTGAGCACTTGGTACAGGCCGCACTATGATACGTTCTTTGTGAGTCATCTCCCTTTCCCAGTCGAGACTGAGCGCTGATGTTGCGAGTGCAGTACCCTTATGCTCCTGCCCATGTGTCCAAGCCAAAAGAGTGCAAGAAGATGTACTTGGTCAACCTCCCGCCAAGTAGTGAGCTCCAAGTCAAGACGCGTTTTCCTCGAGGGCTTACGCGCGTTGCACTAGAAACATTTGCAGTCCCGGCCAATATGAAGCTCCACGCCATACCTATCTTTGAATTCTACGACAACGCAGCTCGATACGGTCCACAGTTTGCTGGTATTCCTTACATCCTCAGCAGGTGAGCTTACTTTTCGACGGGAAGACGTATGCTCGGCTGACGAAAGATGTCTTGAACAGGTTCAAGCTGACTGGGCCAGAGGTTGACGGTGCGGACGAGGAGGTCGCCAGACTCTAGACTTTGGTGTCCGGCGGTGGACAGTGGACTGGGAGACTGGGCTTGACGTCAACCGCAATACTCGCTAGGGCTGTGCAGGGCTTTTGCATGTGGTCCTGGTGGCCGCCGAGACCGGACCCTCTTATGTTTCTTTTCTAATTCAGGCCGACTTTCCTCTTTCGTCGTTTTGGCTCATTTATCACCCGCAGATACCTCCATTCAGTTAGCCCAACATAGCATGCATCAGCTAGCGGCAGAGCATCTTGAGTAAAGGTCAAGCTCAGCGGTTTGGAATACAATTCCAAGCCCCGGCAATCAGTATTTGGTAAAAGCTTCGGCGCTCGGCAGATCACATGTCGGCATCCAGCTGTAATGATGCAGGTGAGTCACTTTTGAGTCCCTGAAACTAATCTTCTCGCGTCACCTCCAGCTTTTGCCTCCACTTTTTTCCACCTCCTGTCCCTGGGCCTCCACCGAGCCAAACCTTCTTACACCTTGCTCTCGTCAAAAAAAGCCAGGAAGGACCCATCATCGCATTTGCTCATCGTCTCGAGAGCGGCCGGAGATGGAGGCCAAATAAGGCTCGGACTATGCAGTCTTAGATCTTAGGTAAACGATGAGCATAAGCCGCAAGGCCAAGATCTCATGGCCATGACGTACTCACCTACACAGCGTTGATCCGTCTTTTTTCACCGATTGCCTCTCGCTATATAAGAGCGCCCTACTCCCTCAAGCCTGTCCACTATCACCTCGGTTCTTCAGATTCGCAGTCTCTTCACACAATCGTCGCTCTCGACCCATTCGGACAACGACCTTTTCGACGACTTTTAAACGATCGAATCTTGCCATGAGGACTTCCACCACTCTGCTCGTATTGAGCGCCGCTGCGGGCGCTGTTCAGGCCGTCGACATCTCTACTATTGAATCTTCGGCTCTTGCTTTGTAAGTATGATAGTATAGTGGCGAGGTCAAGATGCTGACCAGTCTTGCAGGCTTTCATCAAGCTGCCGAAGTGCGTATCAGAACCTCACTGATGCCCAATCGGACATTGGCAAGTGCTTGAAAACTCAAGCCATCGGCAGTAGTTCGTTCATTCTTTCTCACCAGGATGTCCTCGCTCACCTTCTCTTAGTCTTGCAAAGCAAGGGCTCCATCATCCCCGGCGTCAACTCCTACCTCAACAACATTTGCGCCGACGACCCTTGTTCTTCCGACGCTCTTGCCAACGCCACTCAGACTATCCAGACCGAGTGTGCCAGTGACTTGACCAAGTACGGGTGGACCAACGAGACTGTTCAGTACCTCGTTTCTAGCTACCCCCTGGCTCGAGAGGTGTTCTGTTTGAAGACGTGAGTTTTGATTGTTGTTCGCCACTCAAAACGCTGACTCGTTGATCAGTACCGACCCTAACCAGTTCAACGCTTCGCTCGCCTCCAACGCCACCTCTAGCAACTCTACTGCCTCTGGTGTTTCTTCCAGCTCTTCGTCTGCTGCCGGAAACGCGACCGCGCCGGTCTCTTCTGCATCCAGCGCGGTCGAGTCTGCTTCTAGCTCTGCCGAGTCTCTTTCCAGCTCTGTGACCGACTCTGCCACCTCTGCTGCCGCTTCTGTTGCCCGACGACAGGAGGCTTCCGACAGTGTCACCACTGCTAGCGCTTCTTTGACTGGCGACGACGCTTCCGGTCCTACCCCCACTGCGTCTTCATCGGCTTCATCCGTTAGCCAGTCATCCTCAGCCAGCGACACTGCTTCCGTCACTTCTTCCGCCGCCGCCGGTGTTTCTTCTGCCAACTCCACTACCGCTGGTAACTCGACCTCGGCCGGAAACTCCACTTCCAACTCTACTTCCGAGGACACTGGCTCTTTCTGCGTCATCTCTGTCTTGGAGGAAGCCTTCTCTTACTTGGGCTACAACTTGAGCGTCACCGACATTGCCACCATTGTCATTGGGGGTAACGCTTCTGCTGTCCAGACTCTGTTGGCTATCCCTCCCAGCGCCCTCTGCTCTGACTGCGTCTTTGGCGCTCTTGACTTGGTCGAGACTGAGCTTCCTGACTTTGGTACCTGGGTCACGGTCGACAATGTTACTTTGAACAGCTACCTCGACACTACTTGCGCCGCCACTGGTCTTAACGTTTCTTCCAGTGAGCACATACTCGGGATTCTTCGAACTTGACGCTGACTTGATTTTAGACGGTACTCTCCCTACCAACGTCACCTCCGGTACCTCCAATTCTTCCTTCGGTCACTCTTTCGTGAACGGTACCGCGACTTACGTCCCCACCTCCACTGCCCCTGCCATTCCTGCTGCCTCCATCCTCGGCGCTTCCGGCAACGTGACCGTCGGTAACACCACCTTTGGTTTCGGCAACAACATCACTGCCAACGAGACTTTCTCCACCTCTATTGGTACCAACGGTACTTCTAGCACGGTCGGAGCCGTTGGATCTGCTGCCGAGTCTGCTACCAGCGCTGCTGGGTCTGCTACCAGTGCGGTTGAGAGCAAGCTTTCTTCTGTGACTGCTTCTTCTTCTAGCGCTGCGGACTCTGCTTCTGCTTCTGCTTCCGAGACTGCCAGCGCTACTGCTGCCGTTCGACGAGCCGACCCTGCACTCATCAAGGCTCGATGGGTTGGTGAGCAGTAAGCGGTGAAGAGAGGATTTGTAGGGACAATTGTCCTGTTTGAGGAGGAGAGTATCATCTTGTAATAGACATCAAACACGCATATCTAGCATTCACGTAAACAAAAGTGCTTCTAGGCATCTGTAGCTATTAGTACCACGCAATCTGTCAAGTGCCATGCACATTATAATGCCTTCAATACTCTGATCAAGTTGACTATCGATGCTAGCGGTGATAGATGAACGGATGCCATCAGGTGTGGTAATCGCTGGCCAATGACGTCGGCTCCCGCTCTTGTAATGGCTTGTAATGTTTTGTAATGGATCTGCAATTTTGTAATGGGGTTTGTCACAGATCCCAGATCCCCCGTCCTCCTCATTTCTTATTTCTTGGTATCCTCTCCCACTTGTTCATTCTTCTTCTACCCCTTCTCCCCTATCCCCTGCAGCACAAGGACACCAGCGGCCACATCCCTGCATCTCCTTTCCCTCCAATTTCAACCCCCGCCCGCCACCATGCCCGACCGCAGCGGCCCTACCTCCCCTCGCATCGCCATCGATCCCGCTCAGCCCCAGCCCAGGAGCAATGTCACCTCCCCCAACAACCCCCTCACGCCCTCCAGGACCGCCCCTGCTGGCAGCATCACCATCCCCCACCGCAGCTCCATGAGCGGAAGGTCCTACCGCCCCGACGATCCGGACGCAAGGGAGAGGCAAACCCAGCAGGACATTGAATCGGCGTCTGCCATGAGCATGTGTAAGCTTTCAACCTTTGTCATACAGAAGGTCGTGTACAAAAGATTTTGGGGCTGATATGTTCTTTGCTTTGCGGACGCAGCTCGCGCACGTTCTGGCTCTATCAACCACCCTGACAACAGCCCGCCCATGGCCCGCCCTTCCCAAATGCACTTTCCGTCCACTTCCCCTATCCATGAGGGACGTTTCCCCATGCTGTCGGAAGCTGAAGAGGCCGAGATGGACCGCGCCAGGCGGCTTCATGGGGGACGCGATAACGAGTCTGACGACGAGCATGGCCATGGCGGACACTATCACCGTCACGTAGAAGAGCGGGCGGAGGAAGACCATGGGAGAAGAGACAGCATAGGCGATGGCAGTGGGTACGACTCGCACAGCCGTCTTCTCAACCGCCGCGGGTCTGATGGCGATATCCACCATATGGACCGCGCCCGCCACCTCGACCTGAGCCAGCTCGGCGGGCACGGCATGCGCAACACATTCGATTTTGCGGCGATGGAAGAGTTTGCAAACAAGGAAAAGGAAAATTCGTTTGCGGCTGAAGGAGCGTGGGGTGCTGGGAACGACGGGCCGAGGCGAAGGAGTGTGCCGCACACTGGTGCCGGGGCGAGTGATGAGAACCTGACTCAGCCAGGGAGCTACGATACGGCTCTGGATCGGACCAACACCATGTCTGCGTTCGGGGATGAGCCAGACATTGCCTTTTCTCCCGAGCGAGGTCACCACGACAATCACGCCCCCACATTCCAACGCAGGCGCCAGCGAAAACTTTCGCAGTCCAACCCGGTCTTGCGGCAGAAGAAGCTCGCTCTCTTTGAAGGGTTCGGGTCGAATGGTGTCAACGATGGCGAATCGGTTCCTGAAGGTGCTTCAACGGCCTTCAAAGCCCCACGTCAAAAGACTGGCAGCTTTGCGCCGTACTCTGATTCAGCGCCAGGCCACGACCGTCCATACCGATTCTCCTTCTACTCCAACGCCATGCCCGTCACTATCCACGCTCGCAGCCTCGCAGAGCTTCCCGCCGAGGGCCAAAGCTTTGAAGACCTCTTCAAGGGGCGCAACCTCAGCGGACAGGCGACACCGGCTGCCAACCTCGACACTGGAGCCCGCGCAGTCTTGTCTGAAACGCCCTCCAAGACTCCGGCGCCTCCGGTAGAGCCGAGCACGGCGGCATCGGGCAAGACGCAGCCGAGTCTGTTGACAAAGGCTGTGGGGGCTGCTATGGCGCAGCAGGGGACTGGTGGGCCGGGGCCGGGGGTGGAGGATGATGATCCCGAGCAGTCGACTTGGTGGTTGGATGTGCTGTCGCCTACGGATGAGGAGATGAGGCTCTTGTCAAAGGTGAGTTCCCTCTCAATGGTCTTTTCAAGCAATTGTGCTGATTGTGATGTAAGGCATTCGGTATCCACCCCTTGACAACAGAAGATATCTTGCTCGAAGAGACGCGCGAAAAGATTGAACTCTTCCGCAACTACTATCTCGTCTGTTTCCGATCTTTCGACCAAGACCCATACTCGCAGACATACCTCGAGCCGCTCAACATGTACATTATCGTCTTCCGCGAAGGCACTCTCTCTGTACGCTCTCTTTCTTCCCTTTTCTGCTTTTCCTCGATGCTGACTTTGGACCAAGTTCCACTTTAGGGGCACTCCTCATCCCCAAAACGTCCGCCGCCGAATCAAGCACCTCAAAGACTACATCTCTGTCACCTCTGACTGGATCTCTTATGCGCTTATCGATGATATCACCGATGCGTTTGGGCCGTTGATTCAGGGTATCGAGTTTGAGGTCGATAGTATTGATGAGCTGGTGTTGATTCTCAAGGAGGCAGAACAGAGTGATATGTTGAGGAGGTGAGTTTTTTCACGATCACGATTGAGGAAGAAGGGAAGCGGTTGCTGATAGGGTGGTGTACTTTAGGATCGGAACGTGCCGAAAGAAGGTCATGGGTCTGCTGAGATTGATGGGCAACAAGGCAGATGTCGTAAAGGGTCTCGCCAAACGATGTATGTCCCTCTCCTTTCCTTCTCTCCCGTAGCCCTGAAACTGACAACTCGAATAGGTAACGAGCAATGGCTGGTAGCTCCCAAATCCGACATCGGTCTCTACTTGTCCGATATCCAAGACCACTTGATCACCATGACGCAAAATTTGAATCACTATGAAAAGATTCTTTCGAGATCACACTCGAATTACCTTGCGCAGATCTCTATCGAGATGACTGATGCCAATAACCAGATTAACGATGTTCTTTCGTGCGTATCTTGTTCGATGGGTAAGGGGTATTGGCTGATCCGTGTTTCTCTTGCAGCAAATTGACTGCTCTTGGTACGGTCTTGATGTGAGCCTATCATCCCCCCCTGCATGTACAAGAGAGCAGACACTGACATGATGTAAACAGTCCGATGAACTTGGTAACAGGTCTATGGGGTATGAACGTCCACGTTCCGGGACAGGATATCGAAACGGGATACTCTTGGTTTGGCGGTATCCTGGGATGTTTGTGTCTGTTTGCTATCCTGGGTGCTTGGGCTACTGTAAGTGACATTCATGGGACAGCAAGAAACCACCGCTGATCATGCGGTTTAGTACAAGTGCTTTGTCGTTCGCTAGAGCTCTCCTTCCGTCTTTTCATCTTTTATTCTCGCATAGCAACGTCTCCCTCTTTCGCATCTCATTTTGCTACTCGTACTACTTTGAAAGACTGTTTGTATCGTTAGCGTAGACTTCCGTTTGATTATCGGCCGGGTTCCAACAGAGAAAAAATGTGACATATAATCTTGATCATCGCATGTACTTGGTCGCATTGCTCCTGGGTAGTCAGTGAAGCCTAAGATTCACACGTGCCGTGACTTGTACACCAGTACATAAGATGAATATGAGTTCTATATATTATTACACACATGGCGATAAGAAACCAAGAAATGTCCGTGATCGAGTCCTCCTATGGAACTGCGCTATCACTATGTCAAACCGCTCTCAACATATCTAATAAGACTTCAACATGGGAGCATCACAATGCTCAAGCTCTACATCGATTCACACAACGTCACGGGTGATTCGGAGGCGGGGGCGGTGGCTTGGCAGCCGCCTTGTCAGATTTGGCCGCAGGGGTAGCGGGTAAACCTCTCGGCTCGAACTGATGCTTACACATCAGTTGCCTGTTACCTTCGGGCTGAAAGTACTGCGCTTACACCGTGCTTTGCCTTGAGCGCAAACAAATCGGCAATCTGTTGCTCCAGAGCACGCTTCTCTTCCCTCACTTTCCCGAGCTCGCCCATAGACTTGTTGACTTCGACGTTCAAGAGTCTCTTGAATTCTTCGATGTGCACTGCGAGCGTCCACGAGTCAGCTCCATTGAAACTGGATGACACCTTAAACTCACTCATGACGTTGACTGTAGTGGCCTTTTGCATCGACTCGAGGAACTTCATCTTCTCGCCTCTGATCTCTTCCGTCAAATCTAACGGGCAGTTAGCGTGTCGATTCAGTTTTGGGGTGAGGACTCACCGGTAGCAATGGCTCTCAAAAGTATCTCATGATCTTGTCTCTGCTTTTCCAACACATGCAGAATTTGACCCGTTGCTGCATCTGGGGTCAGCGTGTGTTTCCAAGCGCACCTTGATATCGACTCACCGGCCTCTTGAACCGCCTGTCTCTCTTGATCATGTCCCATCATCGATACGAGAGAGTCCAGCCTCTGCCCCATGTACCCCTCGGCCTCGTTACGTCCCTGCTGGTCCACCAGCATCTTGTGCATATCTGCGATGAGCGCTGGTAAGCCAGTTGGAGCGTCTCCAGCCTGATCAGGTTCGGGACCGAACAAAGTATCAAGTCGACCAGACATCTGTTGCAGATGGCCAGAAGACCCCGTGACAAATTTCTCGAGCCATGCGTTGAGCTCGCCCAAGTCTAAGAGTGGTCAGTGCGGCAGCAGGCTATGGTGTAGTATGAATACGCACATTTGCCCATATCGGCAGCCTGGATCTTCTGACTATCCTTCGCTTCGTTCAAGCCCTTCAACATATCCATGGCCTCGTCCATCTGCTTCAAAGTCTCCTCAGGAATAGCCGGGGCAATCGAAGTTGGAGGGTCTGCTGCAGAGTCTTTGGCAGGGGGCGTTGTACTGATGATATGAACATCTTGTTGCTTGAGAATTTTGTTCTCACCATCCTGGAGGACACTGTTAGCTTTGACAGATTACGGATTGATCAGAAGCTCACCTCATTGCCCATGATCTTGGCTACTTCCTCAGCAGCAGCGGCCTCGTCGTGCTCAACAGCCTTGGGCTCTGATTCTCGGACGTTGGCTCCACCCGCCGTTGTTGTCGGGACGTCCTTGTCACCAGACGTTTTTGCGTCACCAAGCTCTTTGGCCAAAGGCTCCGCCTTCGGGGTTTCACCTTCAACAGCTTTTGCGTCTGGCTTGTCCTTCTTGGAAGAGATTTCCTTTGGCTTGTCGGCAACGGGTGTCTCGACAGCTTTTCGCATCACTGTCGATAGTCTTGGAAGAGACGGTTTGTCGCGTACGTCGCGCGCTTCAAGGCCGGGTTTTTCGTCGTTGTCCATCGCGCCCGTCACACCTTGGTCGACTGGATTTGTCTCGACCTTTCGCGTCTCGTCGCTAGGAGCAGCAGTAGCCGGGACGGAAGCGCCCTTCTGAGTACCAACGAACTGGGTGTATAGAGCTGTGAGAGCGTCAAGTTTCTTGTGGATCTCTGACATATCTGGCGGAGTGACTGGCCTGGGGGAATAAGGTACAGGCATCGCAATGGTAGCTGCACTCCCTGGGCGCCCGTTGACTTCGTCATTCTGCTCCGCGATAGTAGGCGGATGCGAGGCAGTTGGTGTAAGAATGTCCCTCGTCATGACTGAGCGGGCAGTGACATCAGGCTCTAGGTGTTGCCCATCCACAGACGGCTCTCTGACTGTAAATTGACGAGCCAGGGGAGCTGGCATGTTGAGGGTGGCAGGACGAGGACGAAAGTCAGGAGGAGGTCCTCTCTGGCGGGGACGATTCGTCACGTTCAGGATACGATGAGGTGGGGCAGGGACGTCGCCGGCCATGATGGCATCCGAGTCCTCCGCTTGAAGGTCACCGCCGGTGGAAACAGTCATATCCTTGACATCTGCTGGCTCCGTCACCTTGGCAGCGGGAAGAAGCACTGTCGCATCATGGGCAGAGGCTGCAGGACTTGCAGGAGCTACAGCTGCTGGTGTGTTGGGGATGTTCTGGGCTTGCGTGGCAGCTTTGGGTGTAGGCGCTGAGGAAGGCACGGCACGTCGCGGGATGTTGAACGCTCCAGAAGCATGCGAATGACGGGCTGGAGTGTTGTTGATAGCTTTAGAACTGTGTTCTTCCATGGGTGGTTCGGGAAGGCTCTTGTAGAACTTCGCAGCCTCTCCCTCGCCCGGTACGTCGTTCTCTAGCTGGCTGGGGACTGGGACGTCGTGTTTGGCCACAGTGGCCGTACCTTCGTCATACCCTCGCTGTGTATCGGGATGAGCACTGAACGCGGCCCCGGCATAAGGAAGGTTCCCGCCCGGCATGTGACGGGACTGAAGGGGCGCATCTGTCAGGTACACTGCCTGGGGCTGTTGTAACCTCTCTTCTTCGATCAACCTTCTGACAGCCGCCAACTCTTCGTATAAGCCGTCGAGCCTCGCCTCCAACGCCCGGGGATAAGGGGCAGTCTCAGGATCAAGCAGCGTTGAAGTACGCCCTTCCAGATTCTCCAGGTGTGTGTACACTCGGCTGAGGTCCATAGCACTCGCATTGTGCTCTACGTCCTTATCCTCCAGATGTACGCCTTCCACCACCGTGGTCTCCGGGGCAGGCGTGACCAAGCCTTTGACCAAGTCTAGGTCTTGATGCAGAGCGCTAAGCTTCTCTTGCAACGCTGTGGGGTATGGAGCGGTCTCCGGATCAGACATCTCCCGTGTGCGGTCTGTGAGCACCTGCATCTGGGCAAGTACCAGCTCAGAAGTAGGTGATGAAACGTCTTTAGTGGGGAGAGGAGGCACTTGGTCAAGGTCGGCCGTGACAAAGGCACCCTTGCCTGGGTCTGCTCCAAGCAAGACTGGAACAGTCGTGGCAGGCCGAAGTATACCATGAGGAATCCTCCCTGGCAGTGAGGTTGAACCGATCGGCTTCTCCTGTCTTTCATCTCTGGCTGTATACTGATCTTCAGCCGTAGGTACGACTTTGGGAACTTCTGTCTCTGTGGTAGCCAAGTCTTTCTTGACATATCCACTGGATCGACTTGAAGGCCTGCTGTTGACCACCGGCGCGTCTGAAAGAGTCGCCGGCTCGAAGAGCGCTGTCAAAACCTTTACAGGCCCCGCTTGACCCTTTATCCCACTTCCCTGCCTCGACAATGTACTGCTCGGTCGACTGATCGCACTAGCCGGTTTGGCGGATGACGGCCTCGACAACGGCGAGGGAGTGGACGGTGTATCCCCTCTCCTGATGAGGTCCGCCACACTTGCACCGAAACGCTCTGATCCGACAGATTTTGGTGCGACGACACTGCCTTCGGAAGCCAGCGAGCTCGGGCTGCTTGAGCGTAGACCCGGTACAGGGAAATTGAGGAGTGATTTCCTGCTCTTTCCCCTGCTGGGGAGACTATCAGAAGCAGACGCTGGGCTAGGACTGGAGACGGCCCCCATCGCAAGATCTCGGGACGTCGATGGTTGGGCGACCATGGCTGGGGTGACAACTCTTGCTGGCGGGGTCGTTTGTTGGTCTGCAGAGTGGGGAGACGGTTTGCCGCCAGAAGATACCCGCCGACCAAAGGTACTTGTCGATATAGGCCTAGGTCCTCGGCGGGGGACATTCATCGTCTGATGCACAATGTTCTTCTCCAAAGGAACGATGGTAATAGGACTGTCCATACTTGACCCGCGAGAGGAGGAGGAAGGGGTGTTTACTCTGGACACGTCTGCTGGAGGAGGCAGGTTGCCCAAAACGATCGTTTGAGGACTGCCGGGTGTGTTGACCAGTGTATCTGTACTCGAGTCTGCAGGGCCCTTCTTGTGGATATCAAGAGGCTTCGTCATGAATTCCGAGATGGGTCGAGCGGGAGGTAGATCCTGAAGGGCGAGCTGCATCGTCCTTGAGGGAGATGCTCCAGCACCCGCCATATCATTTTCGCCCCCTTTTCCGGAGAATGGCGGTGTCGGCATATCGTGTTCGACCAAGCCCACTGTGTACACTTTAGCCTTGGAGGACGGTGAGTCGAAGTTGGGTTTGGGAAAGGCGACTCTGCTGATGTAAGACGAGTCTTTCTCTGTCGTTTGAGACTCCCACATCGCAGCTCTAGACTCGACGTCCCCATTGGCCTTCTCCCGCTTCTGCTCCGCTTCGTCGCCATCGCCATCAATGACAGTATCGGCCCTTCCCACCTGACTCGCGCTCCTGGAAGGATTGAGATCATCCGAGTCGAAACTCAACATCGTCTCCGACGGCGGGATATTGAGATGCTCCCCCGAGTCCTCTTCATCTTTGTGTGGGTAGAAAGGTTCGGTGGTGGGAATGGGTGGCAGTCGACTGCGAGCGAATACCGAGAGATCGCGTTCGGTCTGGACAGGAGTCTGCCAGTCGATTATACGTTGTGAGACCTCGGAGGAATGTGAAGACGAGCGCTGCTTTTCGTTGGAGAACGGCTTTGGAATGTCCATGGGCGTCTCGTCCACACCAAACACGTCTTCGAGCTTGGCTTGTTCCTTTTCTCGAGTATCGAACTTGCGCTCACTAAACATCCTCGTGATGCTATTTCTCAGTGGAGAATCTTCTTTGACCGGCCCAGGCACA